TCTAACAACCAAAATGAAAAGGCGAAGCAAATTAAGTCGACAAGAAACGAATAATTTGTAGCTAATTTGGTTTAGTAACGCAATTTTGTTTCAAATATTGTTCAGTTTTGCGTCAAATGTGTCCTGTACAACAAGTAAACTATTTGATGGCTGAAAAAGGTCTTTAATTATCCTAACGACATGGCAAGCTTGAAGTATTTTGTAAGTGTTAAATAGATTGCCATGTTGCTTATCTTTAGAGTACAAATGTTTGTTCATCATCTTGTGCTAAAAAAAAAAAAAAAAAAATTCAGAAACCAAAATTTTCATCACCGAAAGAAAAGCCTTGCTCAGAAATAACTAGAATTTGTCAAATTTTTACTAGAAGTTAAAACGAAAGACTGCTTAACAATTTTTTCGAAAACGATTTTTGCACAAGGTGATGTTCACATATCTTTTGGCGGAAAATTTCACGGGAAGCCATTTTGAATGTTTGTCGAAAATGTTGTCAGGGGAAACTCTGTGCAAACTGATCCAAAATTTTCCCGCCAAAAGTCTTAGTATATGTTTGAACGAACTTTTCTTGACACCTTTTTGATTATTTCATGAAAAGTCACTTAACTAATTGAGAAATCATAGAAGAGAAGAATAACTTGTGTTATTATTTATTGAGTGAAATATTTCAAGAAAGAAATAAAGATCACAATCAAACAGGGGACAACATTCTTGAGTTTGTTGACTTACATTTATTAACAATGTAGAAATATGAATTGTAGCAATAAAAGGAGAAGTACTTGTATTTTCCGGGAATAAAAAAAAAAAAAAAAAACGGCGCATGCGTATTTTGGGCGCCTGTATTTTTTCTAAGTTTTTTGGCGGGAAAATTGAAAATTTTAAACAGACCTTACTAACGGAAAAGTTTTCCATCAAATAAAATGTACAGGTGACTGAGAAAATTTGAATTAGAATTGGTTGTTCTAAACATTTTTGATTATGGACATCGAAAATAAATTGCTCAAAAAAAAGGTTTAAAAACATTTTGACCGAAAATCAATCCCTAAAAAAAATTTATCTTCTACCTCTTCTTTAAACTTTTCTTTCGACTTGATAGCTCTTTGTCAAGCCTCTTGTGTTTTCGTTTTGTGCTTGACTTTGAGTTCAATTGTCGGTCATCTGTCTGTCATCAAATGTCTGCAAGAGCACGGAAAACACAAATTAACAAATGCATTTACCACAACAAGCTTTATATTTAATCAATTCATAAAAGATAAACCATTTTGTGCAAGCTTCAACTTTAGCAAACTAGTTATCACCTACGAAATTTAACAATAGTTGGCAAATTCTCCCGCATCTTGCCAACAATAAAATATAAAATTGCCATCCATTTCATGCAACATTGACTAGCCTTTCTACAAGACGATAAAAGGGAACCTTCACATGCAGATTGCTGTAAGCCCAGCTGAATTAAATGTTTTTTCTAGAAAGCTTTGGAAATTTCTTTGCATTTCACAAAAAGAAATGCACCATCCTTTCAAGAATTCCGACGCCTAATTATCATAATAGTAGGCAGCAACTAGGTGTTGTTCGTTCGTATATTTGCTGTTTTCTGCGCTTTGAGGTTGAAAAAACGGAAGCACTCAGATAATAATGTTCCTTGTCACTGTAGCCTCATGGGTTATAAAGTGATATTAGGATTCGTGTTCAGTCGACTCCTCGTGCAAAAACAACCAAGATGCAAATTATGTAGTGTCAGGAGCCTAGTGCAGAATTTTTAGAGAGTTCCTTTATTTTAAAACATCTATGAAGCTATAGCCTTAAATATTTTTTATCAAAAATTGCATGAAAACCTGTTTGAACGTTAAAAGTTGTTACTGGGAACAGGCGCCCGCAAAAAACAAGAAAAGCATTATATCTTTAAAATAGGCTGCTTTGTTTTGCCTCTTAACTTATAGTAAATTAACACGATAATTTGAAAAGGATTTTTATGTCAATCCGTGTGAATTTGGACATGTGCGACTCAAAAAAATATATTTGCATGAATTTCTACGAATCAAAGATGACACAAAAAATGACAAGCTTTGTTATATTGAGAGCCCAACCCACGAGATAAAAAATCGTAACAAAAATTCCTAATTAAAAAAATATTGACATGGTGGAAACTGGCGTATAATGTAACAAAAATAGCCGGGAAAATATTTTGCTTTTCTGACAGTAATTCTCCGTATTCTCAAGTTAGACACTTTCTTAACGTTGAGCGTCATACAGTCTAAATTGGAAAACTAATATATTACTTTTGCTTTGACGAAAAACATTTTTCATCACCAAGGCAAACTGCCATGGTGATGAAAGAGCTAATAAACCAGGTCTCCGTCGCATTCTTGTTTTTCTTTTATTACAGATATTTTGGCCTTTTTCAGTTTAAGTGGCAGATCTTAAAATTACATCGTTCCCAAGACTTCACGGCTCAGATAGTGATCTGCATGTTCTGTTACCCATTGTAGTAAGATAATAGTAAAATTAGATATTTATAGGTGCAAGTAACTCACCTCGCCAGAAAAAGTTATCTTTTATCCTCTCCCTTGTGGTTCTTTTCACCTTTATCTTCTATTACTGTATGATTTTTTCCTTCGTTCATTCTTGCCTGTGGCCAAAGCCTGTCTATTGAAAGAGGAAGGACAATTGAATATGTTGGAAATACAAGGACTTACATTAATCCAATTAAAACTCTTTACAGGTAAATGTATAATTTCCAACTGGAATTAAGAGGGATCAGGGTTGGTCAAAAAAGCTTTTTTCTTTCCCTAAACACCAATTCTTTGATTTACTGATATCCCCAGAGGTCTCAGTCAATTTCCTTGAGACGGTTCTCGAAAAAATGCCTAATTATTCTTGAACCTGTTTTGACCTTATAAGTTGCCACAACAATATTACAGGCTCTTGGCACTCAAATTTTAGCTTCTTTGTGCTTGTAATGCATAAGTCAAATTAAGACTCCAGGTTTGTAATATTATGTACTATCAATCTGCATGTCAAGACATCTTTGTGCAAACATTTGCAAACATCTCTGCAACGAGATCAGAGTCACCTAACTCTTCAAATGATAATTGAGCAACCTAATGGCAAGAGCTTTGGAGTAACGATGCTAACTTGAAACAAGCACCAAGCTTTAACACAAGTCAGTCGATCAGTCAGTCAATCAGTCAGGCAGTCAGTTAGTCAAGCAGGCAGGCAGGCAGGCAGGCAGGCAGGCAGGCAGGCAGGCAGGCAGGCAGGCAGGCAGGCAGGCAGTTAGTCAGTCAGACAGGCAGGCAGGCAAGCAGTCAATCAGTCAGTTAGTCAGGCAATCAGGCAGTCAGACAGTCAGTCAGGGAATCGGTCAGTCAGTGAATCAGTCAGTTAGTCAGTGAATCAGTGAATCAGTCAGTCAGCTGGGCAGTCAGTCGGTCCGCCAGTGAATCAGTTAATCAGTCGGTCAGTCAGTTAGTAAATCAGTTCATTAGTCAATCAATCAGTCAGTCGGTCAGTCAATCACTATCATCAACTCTGTCATTACCCTTAACAATCGTACAAAATCATAAAAGACGGCATTTACCAACTTTGACGACTAACATGCCAAACCTCAGTTTTAAGAGACAAGGAAGTACAATGGCTTTAAGTTTAATTATGTAGAGGAGTGACTAAGGCCTCATTCTCGAAGAAGTAATTTCAGAAGTTCGTATAAATTGTACCTTAGCAAGCAGCCTTGTGCATTTAATTAACGCCGTTGAATTCGATAAATTCTGGATTCTAAGTTTGAAATCATCTTTTGCGCACCAGAAAACAAATAAGCAGAGACAATTGATATCTAATGATTACCTAAAATAGCATTTCAGCAAATGTTTGGGTGATTACAAGTTACCTCTCAACACGAAGTTCAACTTCCAACAAGATCACTTTTCGGTGTTCGACGGACTTGCCCTTCTATTTGACTGTTTTCACATTTCTCTTAGGCTTTGAGTTTGTCCAAGGCGAAGAACACTTACGGCTTAGGTACCAAGGACGAGTTTGGACCCAAGCGTGTTGTCTGCGGTTGATTTCTTCCTGTCCAAAAACAAAGTTTGGATTTACCATTAATCGCCATTTTCTTACTCGTGCGAAGGTACACGTGAAGTGAAATAATTGAATATTCATGTCTAAAGGTGCGTGCAGGCGAGTTATGAATAATAAAACACTTTGCCTTATCAAAGTCCAGTGCTTTTCTCGGTCAAAATGGGGAAAATAGAGAATAATCCGCTGATTTATGATGTTAACTCGACCAAGCAAAGTACATCAAACACGAAGCTTACTACAAACGTAAATATTTTTTAGATCTCCATCTGTCCGCGTACGTCATGGCCAAACAGGATTATCAATGACTGAAGAGAGAATTCGCGTAAGGGAAGGAGGCTCGAGGAATGGGGCCGAAATAATGCGGAGGGACCTCCTTATATAACACGGGCCTAACAAATAGTCTGATAACAGAAACGATGGATGAAACGTCTCATTCTACAGACCATTTTTCCTTCAGTTCTCCTCCTCTAACTCCCTCCCCCCACCACGTCAGCCCAATAGTTTCCGCCTGCAATGTATTTTTTAAATCAAGAAGATAAGTGGAAAGGAGGGGGCGTGGAACCCAACGAATTGAGGAATCTTACCAAATATCGAAAGAACTCTATTTTTCCATTTATCTTGTTTGCATTAAATGTTAATCTCTATCTGAGGGTGGTAGGTTTCCAGTAAGTCTACTTTTGTCTCATATAGAACTGGAAATTGACTTATGGAGTAGGACGACTTCATATGTGAGTAGCAGCTTCACGAAAAGGAAATTTTCGTCTGGCGAAGAAATGAGACCAGGAAACAACCGCAAGGATTTTAGAAAAAGATATGTTCGTGGCTCTGTGGATACACCTGCTCAAACAAACTTTCATTGTACTCAGCCGTTTGTGTCGAGGAAAATCATACTCTCTACAAGAGGAAATTATTTATTCAAAATGTTTACAACTGAAACAAACGTTTTTTTTTTTTTAATATCAAAATTGTTTACAACAGCTTTAACTTCCAACACACTGTACCATTCCATTTCTTTAAGATTACAGTCAGTTTAGAATTTGTAATTTCCATGCTACTGTAAACAACTTTCTTCTTTCATGTCAATGACATCAAATTGACGTCATTTTCCTTTAACATTAACGTCAAAATAACGTCACATAAGCCTTTCCATTTACTATTCCTCTGTTTCTGCCATGATCGAATTTGAAACGTCCTGCAGTTCATCAACCAGAGCAAACCTGCTAAATTTCAGCCAATTAGGAGCACGCCAATATCACGCGAGTGACCATGCTACGATTGGTTAATTGTTGTATCTTCTCATTTGAGATGTGGACAAAGTTTCTTTAACCAATCACAGACCAGACAATTCCGCATGGCTTTTGAAACTCAGTAAAAGTATTGCTATAATAGGTTAGATTTCACCTAAAACATTAAGAGTGTATAGGAAATCTTTTGAAATTCTGTCGACAAAAATACTTGCTTAATAAGTTTATCTTGCTCAATTATTTCAACCGACATTTTTCGCCTTAATTTACAATTAAAATAACTTAATATATTTGGTGTTTGATAAATAATCCTACTCGATATTAGAGCTCCTCCGTATTTAGAACTGAGACTTTTTTTACTTACGCCTAAGACTACTGATCGAATATATACGTCATATAAAAATGCGAATATCTGTTCAGGACATAGTATAGTTGATACCTTTTTTGTTGCTCGTATATAGGATATATAATAACCGCTTAGAATAGTACAATCTTTTGATCCATTTCCTGAAAGTTGACTGAATCATAATTTAAAGTAGAAATTTAGCATATGCGTCAAAAAGGTTGGTTGACAAACCTGAACAATCTATTTCAAAAGACCTTTCATGAAAAAGTAGTAAGAATTATCAACAAAATTTCATCATTACGAACAGTTTGTCTTTATCAGCTTGGTCCCTCTCAGAGAAGCGCAATGAAAAGTTAGCTTACAGAAATAGAACTAACTTCCGCTGAGCGCCTTCTGACTAGTTCGGAGGACAAAGCTAAGCAAGATGAACTGGTCATGATCTAGCAGCTAAGAATTCCGTCTCATGACTTCCTTTACTAACGGAGACGAACAAAAAGGTCTTAATAAACATTCATTTTCACGAAAATCAAGTGTAAAAATCGAATAAAGATATCGAGTAGAATTTCAACATTACGAAAATAAAACAGATAAAACCATTTTGAAAGAACTAAAACTTTAACAATAAAAACATCTGTAAACTAAATTTTTTCTTTGATTAAAATATCTATGAACTAACCTGTGCAAACATTTGCAACGTTTTCTCCTATAATTTCGAATATAAATCAAGTCAAATAATGGAGAATATTTCTCGTCCATTGTTTAAACCTGCAACTCCTTGGAGCTAGGATAACTATTCTAATACGGCGAACACACTAGTGCGCCCAGTTCTTCGTTCCTTCATATAATTGTTACGCGTTTACTTTAACTGTACATGCTCTTGTGAGTACATCATCAGATCGAGGTCAACTTTTGAAGTGCATGGTGGGATATCAAATAAGTCTGTCCTCATGCCCTAACGCGGGCGCAACTTCGACGTTTTTATTCGGATCCAGTCTACGCATAAGCTGTGGATCTTCCGGGAGCTGGAGAGAGCAAAACTTTAAGAACCACAGAAAGATACCGACTTGACTCATGACATCGAGTGTTCCTTTAGCGAGATCTGTTGGATCCGTGTCGGCCGAGGAAGGCCGAAGAACGTTCGGGCCAAAAACGGTTGCCAGGTTATTTTGTCCCATTTTGTTCTGTTCCTGATGCTCACTCAATCTATAAGCAACATATTTTAGCCATAAAGTACTCACTAGAGTAACAAAACAAACGCGATCCGCATGTGAATGACTACACTGTTAAGAGAGCTATGCCAAAACATTGCTAGTTTTTTTTTTCTTTTAACCCCACAAAATGACCTTGAAAAAGACCACTACATATCAGTTGGGTACGACAGTAATACAGGAAAGAGCACGGATAGTTGAATGAAGAAGACTGAAAAGCATCGCAAACAACAAACAGAGGGTGGCTCTGAACCAATCAATACTTCCGAATGACCTTTTGACGGTTTCAACACAAAGCTCGACTTAGAATACACTGTGTGACTAATCATCTCTCTCAATCTTATTATGCACAACTACAAATACGGCTTGCATTTCTCCAATGTCTCTTCCTATCGTTATATTTTCCTATGAGTGTGTAAACCACACACATTACCTTCTTAGATGATCTAGTAAATAGATACTAGTGAGCCGGTTTGGTTTGGGTAAAGATTCAAACAACTCCATCATTTTTTTCTTTTTTTCCTCGGGATCTTTAATTCCTAAAATCAAAAACAAGTATCTCGATGTCAGAAAAAAAAATCGAGAAAAATAATTAACTGTGTACAACAAGAAAAATATACAGATTATGTGTACATATATATCTACAAAACACCACATCCACTTGCTTCAGTTTGTAGGTATCAACCAGTAAAGCAATCAATAATGGGCCCTGGAGTGGTTCGTACCGTCACACCAACCACAGAGGAGGGGGACATGGGAAAGAGTTTCCCTGGATGCAAACGATAGAGCAGAATTCTTTCTTTCAGCACCTTACTTTGTGTCCTTTGCATGAAGGTATACGACAGGAGAGGTGCCACTGCTGACCAGGGTGACTGTTTTGATAAGATCGCTTTTCTTCGTTGTATGTTGAGCCGTAATAATATAACACGTGTAGCAGGGCTGACGACTAACCAGCAATAATCTTACCCCATAACCCATTGAACCCACATTTGAAATTCCGAGGAAGTGGTATTTTTTTTCCATGCAGTACGTTATAGGGGCAAACTTATTGTACTAATAAGGAATTGAAAAGTGGTTTACCGTTTGCTTCAACAAACTTGATATAAAGGTCGTCGGTAAAGAGTGGCTCTGGAAGGTCCCTGAGGTACATCTTCAGAAGTCCAGCCACAGCATGGATGTCCGCCTCAGCAACTTGCACTAAAGCACTTTGACTGTCTAAAAGAGATTAATCAAAAAGGAAATCAGTCAGCTATGGACAAACTAGAAACGGCGGCGAAAGTAGCTTTCAGGAGGATTCATTGTGGATTTGACACTAGCATTGATGGCAGACAGCAAAACGATCAAAATCCTGATTTCAAGGAACTTTGCTTCTCTGTTCTAACTCATTTTTGGTATCATGCAAAAGTTACTCCATCTTAAAGGAGGCTACAATATATTAGTTCGGTAACTAAGAAACGAAATAGAGCAAATAATGGAGCAAGACGAAACAAGGATGGATGAGGATGGAAACGATTAGAACGGGTCGAAAATAAGGAATGAGCCACTTTAGCATCTCTCCAAAGCTTGGGGTCAAATCTATGTATAAAGCTCAGCTTGCGGCCTCATCGATAGCCATACCGTTTACCTCGTCCTGTATGCAATGCACTTACTGTTGTCAAACGCGTCTTTTAGCCTTCGGACATCTGAAGTTGCTCCTGATAAGCGATAAATTCCTACTTCTTCTATTCCTGAAACAAGACGAGATGCAACGGTAACTTGAACAATGGATTTTAAAGATATTAGCAGTCAATCCAGTTCTTCGCTGTATTGCACACTCATTGAAGGTTTGCTAACGTGAAACGAAACAAAACAAAAGATAGAGCTGACGCATTTCTTGGGCAAACTTTAGGACTCGCAATCGCAAAACCATTCTGGAATAAAAATTGATGCGATTTCACTCTACCCACCTCTTTTCTCAATTTCCTGTACACAACCAATCACAACTAAGGGAATATCACTTTCTTCTCGTCTGTAAGAGAAACATATACCAAAGGTAAATCATAAAACCATTTAACAAGCGACAGTTGAACATTGTCAATCCACAACAAACAAACGAAGACATTTAACTCACTTTGAAACTGTAGCAATATCAACTCCAAAAACACCTTTCTCGCTGTAAGATTTCTTCCGTTGAATCCCATGAGGTGTCTTGGAATACTGTAGTGATAGCGTTACCGCACCCTGCAAGTCAAACACAATACGTTACTATGGCTGTGCTTTAAATTGGTTATTTTATTTCAGCTAAAATCCAGAGTATTGAATGTTCCTTTCAGCCAAAGACAGCAATGATCACAGGGCATTCTTGATAAAAATCTATATACGGTGCGTGACAACTGAACTTACGTGACCAGCAATTGATCAGTAAAGCTGAAACGTAGTGATGGGGTGACATCACCTACTTCATTACTGTATACAGAGATAAATAAATTATTTATTCCTTACCTGCTTGTCTAAGGTTATTGTGATGGTCTGTTTCTTCAGATCCCTCAAATTTTCCTTTACAAGCTTAAGCAATAAAAAAGATAAGAATTGTTAGCAAGCCACACGTTTTAGTTCAAGTTCAGAAGTTATTTAAACGAACACGCACAACCCCACAGGCGTGATTGATTATTCCCTGTTTTTGCCCATGGCGCTCGCCTTGCACTAATTTCCGCGCGCGAGAAGCATATACAACACCTCACCTCTATTTTTCCTTGCGCACAGTGTTCATCAAAATTAAGTCTGCTTTTGCTATAAACATGCAGCTTGAGTTCTCTTGTTCCTTCTACCTCGACATCGAAGTCCTATAGAACAAATAAAGGTGTTAGCACTGACCGAGGAACGCGTTTTACAACCCTAATGATAAAGGATGGAGTCAAACCATTCTGGCGGCGATTTTAAATTTTTGCCCGGCGAGTCCCATAAGATGACTCTTGGAAGGCTTTAAAACTGAAAGTCTACACAAGACATTGTTTCAGCAGCACAGAGTAAACCTGTTGTTTCTTTCATCGTTTGAGAAAGAATAGAGAGCACCACTAACCCAACCCCTTCCCGCTAAGTATGCTAGTCGATCGCATTTGTCCGAGACAGTCACATCATATTCTCGTAAGGCAAGTAAAGGGGGATGCAAGGCGGCCAGTCGGAGTAATTGGAAGTCAAGTTTTCCTCCTCTTACCTGGTCCCATACAGGGTCAGTTGAAGCTTTACACGTTTTTGTCCTGGCTTTACGAACAAACTGTCCATAATGATCAACTTCTATCACGCAACTGAGATCTGAATAATAACACAAGGAGAATTTAGGAAAAACTGAAGGGAAACATGGATGTGAAACCACATTCAGCAGAAAAAAAAAATCATATTTGTTCGAATAGTGAAATGCTTTTGTGGGGGATGGGTACACCATCCTATTGAACACACTGTAATTTCCAACTGAACGTCATAAACTGTCTGGGATTGCAAAAGTATAGAAAACTCACGCCTTCTACTTAACTAACAAGGTGTAAACATAATATGACAGGCCGCTAACTTGGTGGGGTATTCCTGCGCTGTAAGCAGTTTGATTTCCCCAACTCATCGACTCTCGTTAACGAATTTTATATATCAACATATTGAGAATACATATTTCTCTTGTAAATTCCCTTGTTCTCAATTACCTTTCAATTGTATTGATTTTTATTAATCTGCTTTTGGTTTGACTCTTAGGAAATGCGGTCATGTTCTGGCAAATGGCAGCAACGCATTACAAAACAGGCGAAGATTCATATCCAAGCTTTACATGAAGTCAGCTATAGGGTTGTCTATCTTCTCCCCTTATTACTTAGTTAATAGACTTTGTAGAGACAGTCTGAGAGCCATTGACGTATGTTCAATCCACCACTCTGTTCTCACAAACTGTTAGGATTTGCAATATGTAGGTCTAAATTGGTCAGAACGTTTTTCTAGACTCCCAAAAATAAATTGCTTTTAATCAAAGAGTCAATTTCCTGTTAATTACTTTTTCCTGAGCCTTCATAAATCTCGTTCCACCTGCATAACCCAATCACGGCGAAGTTGTTGTGAAGTGCTGTTGCACTAGCCAATCACAAGCCTACACGAGTTCGCTTACGTGCTCCTTCTATGCTTAGGGTCAGTTACGTGCGTCTATTAAGTTTTGGTGGGCGTTTAATTCATATTTAATCTATTTTAATGTAAGCTCTTCGGAAGTCTGGATTATAACACCACAATTTCTGATGATCTCTGTTTTCATTTACCGTTTTTGTGAAATCCGCGTCCAGAGTGTATATGAACGTATAACAGTCCATTGAGGAGACTTTTGTCTGCAACATAAAGAGCAAAATATGCAGTGAGCGAGAAATATCCCTCCAGGCTTATATCAGCAAAATATTTTCAGCGTTACCTTTACGTTCCAAGATCACCCTTCTCGAAACAGAAGGAAAAAAATGATTGCGCTTATTTACCTTAGCTTTATAAACAATTATCTGTGAATTTTAAGTTCAACACGGTGTGAAGTAATTAGAGTAATTACGCGAGGTGTTTCAAGAAATTTCCAAACCTAACCCAGACAGAGTAATAAAAATTGTTTAGAGTTGATGTTAGCGAAAGCTTATCGGAGGGCTTTGGCCTGTGAGAGGAGTATTCCCTTTTCTTCTTCATTTCTTTACTTTTAAGCGAAAAGCACATTTTATTTCAATGAAAGAGAAACATTGATTTAACTTTAATTACGCTATCATTATGTAATCCTAAAAGGAAATGAAGGATGGACTTAGAAAATCGCGTCCAGTACCTTCCTTCATGGATACTTTTCCTAATGACCTCTGAGTTCTCAGCTGAAAGAGAGACGAAATATCAGTTAGCACGATATTTTCAAAAGGGAAATCTTTACACAATTGATCTGTGGACAAGACAGGATAATACTGGGTGTTAATTGCCAGTTTGAGTCCTTTCCAACAGTAAACCCAGGAGTTTTCCTTGCGGCTTCCTGTTTCGTGCTGTCTTTTTTATTATTTATAAATGTCTGTTCCAATTTTAGTTTGTCAGGGTCACTTAAAATAACGTGAGAGTGCTCAAAGGTAAAAAAAATCTGGCGATTAAATATCCGTCAATTAGACTGGCGGATACGGAAAGATCGGGTTAGGTGTTAATTTTATTACGAAAAAGGTCTGCCTGGTTTGGACTTGACATGACTAAATGATCCTTTGAAAGTGTGCCAAAATCTCGCAAAAGTGATTTATCACAGATCTTGTAAATCTTATTACAACAATTTGTCACACAGACATTCCGGGCTGGGTGGACTAAGCGATATTTACTTAATCAAAGTTCGGTTTGTGACAAAAAGCTTCCTTTGCGCAGCATGAGGCTGAACGAAAACACCTCGTCACAATGATGTATTTGTGATATTTTTTGAAAAAGGAAACAGCGTTGCAATTCGTATCGCAATGACAAAAGATGTTTAATGTATAGTGTTTGTTTAAACGCGATGAAAATGTCAAAAATGTACGAGATTGAGTGGATTACAAACTGATAACATACTGCTCAAGCGAGATTTGAAAAACTAATTCTTTCCGATTGATTTCCACACAGCAAAATCTGAACTGGGCATGGATATACGAAAGAAACAACCTGAGGCGCTCTCAAAAATACAAGGAAGAACATATGAAATAACGCGAAAATTTCAAGAGCAATTCTCATCGTAGTCTACGATTGCAACATCTCTTGTACAAACAATGCCAAGTGTTATAAGCTTCCATACTTTAGTGAATTTTTCCAGTTCTTTCTAACGTAAATTTAGCGAGTTCAGTATTTACAAGCTTATAATTACAATCTTCCTAAAGTCAGTACCATGATGTTACTTACCAAGGAGTGCGAGTCTTTTAAAAAACTAGAGTCTGAGCCTCTTCGAAGGAGTCGTATGTTTGGCGACCAAGAGCCGCGACGAAGAAGAGGCGATTTCGGCTTTTCACCAAATTCGGCATGAGTTTCCGATCCTCTCCGAGCAAGCCTCGGAGAGAGAGTGAACTTAACTTTTGTCGCCATGATCATGAAGGGCAGACGAACGAAACAGGGAGCGACGCGAGCTTAAGATTGGTTCAGTAGTTCAGCGTAACTATTACCGAGTCGAGGAAGGCTTGAATAAATAGATGGGCTGAAGTGTAATTAATCTGTCACATTAATCCCTGCTGTATACCGCTCACATACGTTACCCGCGGTACACAAAACCACTCGACCAATCAGAGAGGATGTTTACCAAAACACCAATAATAATAGCAGTTTCCTCACTCCGGGTTTTTCATAGAGAGCGTGAACGAGCTGTCATTTAGAATTTTATTACCTTTGAATTTTGCAATATGAAGGAGAGAATTCCACAAACAAATGAACCGACCAACCTTCTTACAAGCCTCTAGGAAGTGATGAAGCTCCAACGCACTAAGCTGTACTTCAGCACTTGTATTATCTAAGGTAAAAAATAAAGCTTGTGATTAGAAAGCCATGATGGCTGACTGTGACGTTTTTCAAGAGAGATGACACTGTTAGAAAAGGCGCTGTTTCGGTATCTGTCAAAAGATAACGAAAACGTTGAAACGATGAAAGCTAGACAATTTATTTCAAATATGCAAATCGATTTTAAAATGCTTTGAAACATGTCAATATTGACGCGTTAATCAAATTTAGGCATTGTTCGAGTCGTCCTTTATTAATAGAAAGAAGCGATAATGGTTCTGATATCAATTCAATAGGTTTTTTTTTTTTTACCTTGAATTTGTTCCAAAAGAGGAATGATGGCTTCCTTCCATTCTGCTCTTTCGACATCAGTTTTACAGAGTAATGTGTATGTCTGTGAAGTTAAAAAAAGTTTGTCCATGATTGCCGAAAACTTATAATTTTTTCTCTGTAGAAGTAATGTATTTTGTGTGCAAAAAAACTACTATTAAAATTGAAATCGGGAAACTACGTGACTGATTAAAAAAATTGATTCCGTTCTTAAATGTGCAATGTTTTCGCTATTGTATATAAACTTTCCAGGGGTTGCAAAAACAACGATCATAGAAAAAAAGTTGACACAAAAAGTGTTAACGATTCATAATTCCTACAAAATGCCAAAATTGGAAGAAAAATTAAAAAAAGAGATAAGGTTCAAAACACAGCCAATTTTGAAGCCTTTTCTTTCTTTTGTCATCCGAAGCTGTTGCTTGAACGTCACGGTGTTACTAAGCTTGTCGTTACCGCTAAACAAGTCATGTCACAGTTCCCAGATCCTTCTCCTCCCTTTTAAGAATGCATGCGAACAATACCAAAAAGAACCAGGATATTTAAAAGTAACCTAGTTCTTTTTGTTATCTTCCTTGTGCATTACAAGAAAATTGAAATGTCAGAGCACGTTTATAGTTAGTTGGTCTATTATAAGCATATACAACTAACCTTGCCCTGTTTGTGGTAGAGTGTAACCGGGAGACTGGGAATGGCTAACAAAAGAGCTGCTTCCTGTTCAGCTAGCCGCCTTTTCAGTTTCTCGACAATTTTGGAGGCTGATTGTGCTCGACGTCGCTGCAAAGGAAAAAAAACAGTAAAAATGAGAGAGAGTAAGCAAAGGAAAGAACAGTCAATTCACCTCCCCAAAACCTAATAACAAACCAAGTTTCAAAAATCGATGCAACTCGCTCGAACAACACTTTTCTTTTCACAATAGCGCTCGTTGAAAGCATGCTCTTCCTTTGCCACTTTAATCAGAAAGCCTTTGAATTCACCAAGCCAGAGGGAAATTTCAATTTCTTATACCTTCATTGAAGGTGAGGAATCAGGACTGTTGAGTCCGCTCACTCCTTCTTCTCGTCGGATTTCTGCTTTGGTGCTTGCAATCCTGCTTTTCAGTAAATCAAAGTCACCTTTGCTTGTCACTGGTATAACTTGTGGCGCTAAAAAATAAATAAACAAATAAGTAAAAAAAAGGAGAGACTTTCACATGTTAGTAATAACTGATACGGTCGAAGTTCGTTCGTTAAGAAGCCTTCATGTAATTTGCTTGTTTAATACAAACTTGAATTTATTAGTTAGAATGGTTTTTATTTCCCTCCTCCCTTTTACTTACCACCGCGCATTTTCTAGTTTTCCTGGTTTGAAAGTTTTGGTAGAATACATATCAAAGCTCATCTCTCATATTTGAACTTGCAATGAAAATGTTTCAAATCAAACCTACACACTCCGTCAAAGCAAGTTATAGCTTTCAAGAGGTAACCGTGCTCAGTCGGACTACCCTGCGTGGAAGGAGCACGTTTTGACTGAATTAGCATCGAACGCATGAGCAGGAAGTCGCGCACTAAGGCCTGTAAATTGCGTTCTAGCCTAACACTAACTGTACAAGCTATGCATACACAAACCTTCTGAGTTCTCTGTGGGCTGGAACTGTAAATCGTGCAGGGAGAGATACCATTTACACACGTATTGCTCGCTCCTGTAAACATTTAGAAGAGACACCTCATTAAAAAAACAATCAAGTATGTGGCGATGAATGGGTGTATGGCTCAAGAAAAGAGGTAAAATGTTTTTCAGGTCGATAGGAATTGCCAAAAGACTAATTGAATTTTTTAGGTTGAAGTAAAGATACGATGGATCTCAGCATTGCATCAGTTTATATGTATTAATGACGACAGGCAACAATAACAGCGAGAAGAGTTTCATGTCAAAGTTATTGAAACCTTAAACATGTGAGGCCTGAATCACCATAACCTACACCAAAATCAATTGCCATAACATACCTAGCTGTTATCTTTCTCTTTGTACATATGATGTAGTCATTGAACAAGAAAAGATGTCTAAATTTGCGAACTCCATCTGAAAAAAAAGAAAAAAGTCATTGTTACATTCTCTCACCATTAGGGATTTGAAGTAGAAATGTCATCACACAACATTTATTTTTTATCCCTTTTACTACTACTATTGCTAACTTGTAACTTCTCCTTAACCTTTCGATACATTCACTAGCAACCAGGCCAGTGATCAGCTAGAGACTGTTATCTTTTTCTCCAAGAAATTCATATTGGCTATAATTGAGAACCACAAAGGGTAAAGAGATTTAAAGAGAAAATACCTGAGAGTTCTACTATAAATCCATCTTTGATTAGTCTATGATCTCGCTTCACTCTTTGCAATCCCTATGGAAGTTCAAAAGTTAAGTTCTGATTAAAATCAAACAGGACAACATCAGTACTTATAACAATGCCAATACCTTTGTACCCTATGACACTTTTCTCACAAATTAAAATGAAAACAATCCCAGGCAAGCCGAGAACACGAGCTTCTCCTGATCCCTTGCAAAAGGGATTGAAAAGAAAATAATTAACATGTCTCTTTATCTGGAACAAGGGGGGTAAGTTTCTAAAGAATCTGTGGTGCTGCGTCGGTGGAAGAGTAAAAACAGGGTAATTTCTCCCAATCGCTCAGACGAAAGGCTAACGCTCGAAACGTCAACCTTTAAACTCTTTACGGTGGTCAATTTACGTTATCAACTCAGTCGATAATACCAAATTACCCTATTTATCTGGAACGTTTTCAAGTGCCCTTCATTGAGTTGTTGGTATCTTTACGATTTCTTCACAAACTATGCAAGAAACAGACTCAATAAATTCCCGGATGTTATCGAGCTTCTTGTTCCGAGAAGTGTAGGGGGGGGGGGGAGAGAGAGGGGGGGCAAAAGTTTTCAGTCTACCTACCCCTCCGTCTCTTTCATCACCATTGATCTTTGCTAGGAAGTCTTTGGTTTGGTTCAACACATTTGTTAAAAGTTCAAAATCCGCATGCTCCTCAGGAGTTTCTTTGATCAAGTCCTAAGTAAAAGCATGTTATCATCAGAAACATTAAGCTATACCTCATTTGATAACAATATAGCAAAACCTATATGAAGAAGATCCTGTATTGACCAGTCACCGTGCATTAGAAAGCAGAAAGCCTGAGTAAGTCACAACTAACCTTTAGGACAGCAATATAGCGGCCAACTCGTTCCACTGGTTTGTTGAAAAGAGCTGACGAAAAAAAAAGTAATCATAACAAATTAAAAAGGTCTTTTAGATCTCTTAAATTTTGATCTTAACCACACCTCTAGAGATGACCAGCAAGGATTTTTCCAAAACACTTTTCAGAAACCACGTGAGGAGAATAAGCAAACTCGTTGGCTTAAGTATTCTCTTTGTTAACACACCAAATTCTCTAAGATTATGTACAACGAAATATACAGAATGTGCCACCTACAACAGAAAATTGGGGGCTTCTACAGAACATGCCTATGATGTATTTGCACACTAATTTCAGGTATCTTACTAATAAAACATACCTTCTAATGTTGTCACTTCTTGAATGGATTGAACTCTAAGTTCCTGATTAGCAGAAACATAGAAAAGACAACATCTGTTAATTGTCCTCAATGTCTGAGCTTATCCACTTTCTGCCTTGTGATCAAAAAATGAACTTTACAAATTCTTTCTATACCCTCCCATGACAGAGAAAAATAATAAATCAATGAAATACCTGCCTTCAGTAAATAACATGAGCCACAATAAAACATACCTTAGAAAAGATGTTGTTGAATTGTTCATTGCTTGCCTTGCATTTACGTACTGTCGACATTGCAGTATTGTAGTTTGATATGTATTCTCTGTACACATCAAACTGATCCACCTATAAGCAAAGAGAAAACAAAAAGGAAAGAAAAACATAGACAAAACTATGATGAAGATGGTTCTGTTTGCCAACATCTTGTTACATGGGTAGCAACTGAAATTTTTTTTAACTCACTGACAAAAAATACAATTACTGTTTAATATCTCTTTAATAGATAACCAATGACTAAAAAGTTGAATCCTGAGCCACAAATTTAACAATGCAACACAGAGTTTTCAATCAGGAGAAATGAGTTATACATAATGAGAAACAACTCTAACCACTGAAATTCAGCCATGTAATTCTGCATTTTAGTCAGAGAGATGGCTAGATGGCCTCTATTCCTGTGAGGAACTCACATGACTAAGCTGTGTTGATATTTAATACTACAATCTCTTTTAACACTTTAACTCCCAGATCAAATTTGTAACTCTCCTTACTGTCAACCATACAACTCTTGTGATGTTAGTTCAGAGAATTTAGTATTGGATCAACTTATTATCCCCAAATTGATATTTTTCTTTATTCTCATCACTCATCTGGTTCATATTATATTGATATTGTAAAGAGAAATTCTGTCTTGGTCACTCACGAGAGTTAAAGGATTAATCGCAAGTATGTTTGGTTTAAATGAGTGAACACCAAAGATAAATAAACTGATTTTTCTTCGACAGTGAAATAAAACAATTTAGCAGGAAATTGCATAAATTTGTAAAAAAGATACAGCTCTAAAAATTCCATTAAAAAACCGCAACGTCATATTTCCTTTTGTGAATAAATTCCCAGACTATTCCACTAAAACTACTGCTTACCAAACTCAAAAATAAATCTCCTATAAGGTGACGGTCGCTCCAGTGTGACACACGTGTCTCAAGTTCATTATAAAATGCACTGTGCATAGTATGCAGTTCATCAAGTTTGTGGAAAATCTTGTTGTAGTCAACTGAGGTCAAGATTGGATGTGATGATTCAATGGAAAACTTTAGAGGCTTCATGTGCTGAAAATAACAATTGGAAGAAAAGAAACATTTAAACACACATGTTATGCATTGACAAAGCACAAATTATTTAAGAACCTAATTTACAGATGGTTCCATTTAAGAGCTATAACTCAGATTTTTACCTATAGGATCTAACAAAGAAAAACTGTGCAAGTTCCCAATGTTGGTTAAGCACCATAATAACATGAACATTGCAAGTAATTTTAAATCTTATACAGCACATAATTGGAGTAATAAACTCTGGCAGTGTTAGTTCTGATGCTGCAAATAGTCCGCAGTGTACTGAAGCCTACTTTAATAGATGCTGCAATATACATGTTCAAGAGGGCTAAAATATACAGAATTTTAGAAGTTAAAAAATGTAATTGAATCACTTTCACTCATGATAACTAATTGAGGACTTTCTCCATGTTAACATAGCCTAAACTTGAGACATTCTGCAAACCCCTAACTGTTATCATGAGGCAATGCAAAGTTGTACCCTCATCTAACAAAGCCTATAGACCAATGAGAGCACCCAAAGTATTTCAGTCATTTAAATAAAAAACCCTAACAGACAATTATGTTTTTTTTTTTTGTCACCAACCACGAAAAGAAAGATGTAAAAATGCTTACTTTGTATAATAAGTTTAGACATTCCAAATATCCTTTCTCACCATCCAGCACTCCAGCAACAACCCACTTTCTCTTGTGCAGCTTTTCAGCTTTGTCTCCAGCACCAGGATCCTAACAGATGACAAGTTAAATGTTACAATGGTACATTACCACTCGGTAGTGAGGTATTGCTTCCTTTCTTGTTTTTTACCCTGACATGTTGCTTGAGGGTCACAAATTACTATTGCTAAATAAAAAGTCCCTTTTCTTATTCCATGGTCTTCATTATATTCAAATTCTTTTGTTTCAGTTTCATGAAAGGACTTGGTGGGGAACATGCATCCACTTAAAAGCAGCAAGACAGAGAACCAATTCCTTGACAAAAGGGGCTGCATTGGAGCTCAAAGCATCAAGAGAACTGCTGATGTCTCTTTAAGTAATTCCCACATGTTGGCTTTTGGATTATTTTCCTACAGATTTTAACCCAGCAGAGACCTTGGTTAATGAACAAAACCATTGAAAAATACAGGACTTCAAATGGTCATCAAGAATAATTTAAACTATACATACCACATGTTTTGCAGGACTTCCACCAGGAGAAGGGACAGGCGAAGATGAAAAATCAACACTATGATCTCCAATAACAACATGGGCCCCTCTTGCTTTGCGCAGTTTCTTGAGTTCTTCATTTTCTGAACCCTGGCTCCGAGGACGAACTACCTCACTAGCACTCCTCTTTGGCAAACGAGGGAGAGAGTCATAGTCCCCTAGTGACAATCACATAAAAATATACAACATTCATATTATTGACTATGATCAGATCCTATACAAACGAGGAGACTTTCCACTTGAACTCAGGCTTGTTCAGTTAAACCCCTCCCACCCCTCCCCAAAAAAAGCCACTTCCCCCCCCCTCTCTCTCTCTCTCTCCACCTCCCCCTTAATTGCCTTGTAGGACATCCCTAGAGGAGAGGGTAGTCTACATGCAGTTCAACTTCACCCTTGTTTGTTTCTTTACCACAACATTCATTTTATTATTACCATTACTATTACCATCATAATAATTATTATCTGGCTTATGGGAAATTCCATGTACCCAAGACTGTGTTTCAAGGTTGAGGGGAAGTTTAATGTTTTGAAAGTTTTCATAACTGCAACAGCTGTAGGCAAATGGAATTTGAAAACTTTTCAATTTATCAAGAGTGACCATTAATAGAAATACATCTGTAGTTTATGCAATTTTTTTTGTTCAAGATGTTCTCAACAAAGTGACTTATTAACACTACTATGTGTGTCTTCAGTTTGCACTACTGGAAACAATTTTCATTGAAAAAATGCTCCTACCTTTCTCAAAATGGATCTATTCAGTAACTGACAGGTAAACCATGCTTAATGTTTTTTTATTAAAATAATTTAGAAATTAGCATTTTTATCTTTCTTTAAAAGCATAAAATTTCAAGAGAGTGCAAATTTAAAATCCTACTCAGCTAAAAATGTTTTTATACATTTTTCAGCGACCAGTAAAGAATGGTAAAACTATTTTGCTGATAGTATAACAAATGTAGCTGTTTTAATTCATAATTATTTCTACCGTAGAAAGGTGTATCTCATACTTTTCAAGTAATTTTGTTGTGCAATTTCTTCACATTATGCAAATTCAGCCATGTTTTGATCCTTTTACTTATATAAGAAGGTTATTGCTTTAACTTCAACTTGCAAATTGATTTAAAGATGCACAAACAGCTAATAACATGTTCATATAAATGAGGTATGAATAAGACTATTGACTCCCCAAGAAAATGAAAAACTAGTCAGGTTAAAGAACAAATTATTTAAATATTCAAAAGATTTCAGAGACAGTACTGACAGTACCTTTGTTATGATAATAACCACTAAAATGTGAAATTTATGTTTACCCAGACAGCTTTTACAACAAAATTGAAATTGAAAACATTATCAGTGCACTTTTGTGACCAATTTTTCTTTTATGATTGAAAAAACAAAAATTATAATCTTAACTGTACTTTAACCAAAAAGCCTTAAAGATAGTGAAAACAAATTACATGATCTGCACTTTGCTTTTAAGGAGACACACTCTTAAGGACCAACTTTATTTTGAAAGGGCTAAGGTTGGGAAAATGAAAGAAATTTTTTATCAAAATGTTTACCACAAAGTGAATCTATATAATGAGCCAATTACCAGGAATTTTCAAGGTTTCAAATTAAAAGCAATAAATATCACAATTCTTCAGAGAGTAACAATATTTCTAGCAGAAAATTGAAAATTTTGAGTTGGCAACTAAACTGTGGTTTTACAAAATTTTTTTTGACAGAAAGAAACACAACAGAAATCTCTAAATCCAAAGTTCAGAAAGAAAATATTACTTATTTTAAACAGATGTTTGCTTATGTGACCACAAGTTTCATAAAACTATCTAAATGTATTGAAATAATAAAATAATAGAAGACTATTTTCTTAACATAATTTTTTTTATCACAAATAACAAGAAAAATGGACTTTCACCTCTACACAAAACAAGATTTTTTTCTTTACAGTTTATGTCTTTTGAAAACCTCCCTGTTGAATTGAAAGTATCATACTTAAACACAAAATGTCACAGTTCATATTATCAAAATATAATAAACATGATTTAATTTTTTGTTTCAATATGATTCAAAAACAAGACCATCCTAAAGCAGTTGGGTAAGAGAGATCCTTCATTTGCTACATCTGTCAGCCTTCTATTTCCAAGAAAAAATGTTTCAGTTAATAAATATCCAATACAGTATTCCCAATGAAAGTCCTAGTCTTTAAAAAATTGAAAGGAAATTACAATGTGTTGTGGCAGACCTAACCATGGTATGCTTTTAAAGCAACACACACTGAGGTTAACTTTTGTTGCTTGTTGCTTAACACTATTTCAGTTACTAAATCTTAGAAACCTTTTTTCATCTCTTTACAAAGTAAACGTACTCTCCCTTCCATTGTCTAGTGACTCCTGACAACAGTTGATGCATTGCTCACTTAATGTGAGCCAGTTATTGTTCATGACAGAAAGTAAAGAAAAGCCGTATTTTGTCTTGTTCTAATTCAATGACTTTAAGCTCCTCTTGCCATTCAACAGAGTTACTGTTTGTGTATGCTAGACAGTTTTAAATCATCGGAAAATTTTAAGTTCATATTGCTCACAAATTACAGATGTATGCCATAACTCTTTGTCACCTTGTAAGGTAGAACAAAAAATTAATCACTTCAAAAGCAGGAAGATAAATGAAAGCAATTTCAAACCTTCCGTATCTTGTTCCAGCCTACCTTAAGTCTACTCGTACATTTGTTTTCAACTCTTTGTGAAAAAAAATTGCCTTTCACCTCAAAAAAAAAATTTGTATTGTCATAGTTTTGCACCCTTAAATAATTTTTTTTTAAATCCACTGTCTGTTATGTCCGTTATGCCCTCACAATAAGTTCAAACAACGTATTGTATTGGCTTTTGCAAACAAAGCATTCCAAATTATTGTGAAGCTGTTGTTATCATTTGTTTGCTTGTTTGTTTGTTTTTTCTGATCTTAAATGAATTTTTACACAGATAATTTGGTGCTAATTTATGTAGAAGAGAAAATGAAGTAATGACAGAGCGTCAATAGGTTAGACTTCATGTTAAAAATATTGAATGACAGTTTGAAAATATGTTATTACAATAACAACCATGACATATTATCATAAAGGGAGGAGGAAGAAAAAAAATATAGACAGTTATAATTGCTTCTTCAATATCTTCAACACATACAATATAACAATATAAACAAACTTAGGATACAGACAAAAATTCTTTGAAAGATTAGCTTTAGTATACTAGAGTCTATGAAAAATCTAGCTGTAAAAGAAACAATGTTTATTTCAAATGAATGCTTACCTTTTCCTTTCAAAAGAAAATTAAAGATAATATCTTGCTTCTCAATCATTAGCATTTATGACAAGTGTTCCTTAAAATTATTTCCTAAATAACTTTCGTGCATTTTTAAAACTATTTTTGAAATATGTGCCACTTAGTCAGCAGTATCCAATTTTCAGTGCTGATTATTTCTTCTCAAAGTACGATCACAACATACCCTCATATCCCTTGTCATCTTTTCCAAAGACATCATCATCATCAGCACTGACTGGCCCTAGTTTCTTTGGTGAGCCTACAGTGCGGGACCGCCTCTCAGTCTTACTACGCCGTGGAGGTCTGATAGGTGGAGGTGAAGCCTCCACATTTGGCTGCTTGGATATTTCTTTTACATGGTGACTAGGGGAAGCCCTCTCAGTGGGTCCGACATCATTGGAATCATTTCCATTGTCTTCTTGTTCTGATGAATCAGCTGACTGCATTTCAGAGACAGCAACATCTATAGCCCATGGACTCATGCAAGAGTCAGCGCTCATCAAACTAACGTTACCCGCAGAGAGAACGGAATCGAGTTGTCTTCGTGATCGTAGGGGTTTCCGTGGTCTTATTACCCCGCCAAATAGCATAAAGTCATCTCCCTCAGACGCATGGGGCGATTCCCCTTCGAGATCATCGCTACTCACGACCTCGATTCCTTCCAAGTAGGATATCAATTCATCAACAACTTCGATAATTACGTCGGGTGTTTCAGCTATCTTCTCTTTCTTGCACCTGTCTTCCTCAGAGATTGAGTCTTTCTTGTCCAAAGCATTGTTCTCCGAGAATCCCTGTCTTGTAAAGTCAACATGACTTCCTCGATCGATAGGAGCCAAACAACTATCGCCTTCATCTGCCATATTAAACTGATTTGCCGCACAAATATCGTGTGACTTCACATCAACCTCGTTAGAATCTGACAAAATTTCACTTTCAAGATTTTCGGAAGTTTTACTTTCGGCATGATCTGAAAAGTCCACATCATCGCCACTTGTCGTGCTGCCGTGAGAATCATGTCGCCTATGTTTTGGGCCGGACGGACGCGTTAAATAACTCTTTCCTTTCGATTTAGCTTTGTTGATCCCCTTCGCTAGAGGTGAGAACACACTGGCAAGAGCTCGATTTCTATGACCAGTTGGTTTCTTTCGTTCAGGATAATTTAAATTTGGCGTTTCGTCCCCCATTTCTGGTTCTTCGTCTTCTGAAGAACCCGTGGGGTCTCTCTGATCATTTCTCCTTGTTAACCCGACATCGTTTACACTTTCCTTTTCTGTATTGTTATTGGCGGAAAGTTTATTACCCTCAGCTATATTAATGCCATCGTGTGACGAGCTTTTCTCTTCATCGAATTCATTATTTTCGCTACTAAATAATTTACCAGAGTCGACCCCAGACGTCCCCTGTATGTTGTCGTTGAAACACGACTCCCCGTCACTTCCGTCCAAAGCGAGTTTTGGCTCGTCACGAGGAGGAAATATCACTTTAGCGTCTTTTCTAAAATCCTTGCACTCTTCATCAGGTGCAAAAGTATTGTTTAAATATTTCTCTTCGTCTTCAAGCGGGGACGACTTCTCAAAACCGTCCCGATCCGATTTTTTTACGTCTTCTATGGCAACGGAAGGCGAGGCAATGTCCTGCGGACACGACACAGGCTGATTCAGTTCGCATGGAAAGAACACGTTTAGCACTCTTTCGAGTTCTAAATCTCTTCCTTTAGAGATGTTAACGTTAAGAACCTCTCTGAGCCATTTTAAAATAAATCCTTCGCTTTTAAACACGCGAATAGCGTCCTCAAGTCTTTCATTGCACAAATTGAAACGCTCCAAAACATGTTCGTCAGATGCGAAATCTCCATCAAAATCACAAAATTGCAAAAAGTCTGTGTCAGGAAGCTTGCCTTTCGGATGAAAGTCCCTCCAAGCAGTTAAGAAGGCTTCTCTGTAGTCCATAATTTCCTCAATCTAGCTCTGCCCTCATAATTTCATCTTTTCAGTGGAGTGTCCAGTTGTAATTTGTTTCTCTCCGAGGCAACACGAGGTTAACCGAAGTTTGTCTCGATAATGCGTGACGTAACATTCGGCGTCTTCGGCAGCACGTCTTTTCGACTTTTCTGGCTAAAACAGCGGAAGTGAGCAGGAAAGTGACAAAGAAACGGAATTCGAGTTACGTGACGCACGCAAAACCTCATATTCCGACGAACAGAACTTAAACTAACCTTCAAACCAGGCTTTGAGTCAAACACAGAAAAATTATTCCTCCATCGAGAAAACTGGTTTAGGCTAAGGAAATCGTTGAAAGTTTAAAAAGAAGCCATTCAAGTCACATTTACTTGTTGTAGACAAAAAATAAAATTTCCTCATCCCAATAATGATCAAGAGGGCAAGCCTTCGGCAAAATTCTTCCTTCTACATTTTCGGCTCGAAAGCATGAAATTCTTCACATTTCAACATAATGAAGTATCGCTAAAAAACCGCGTTTTAATTCAGATTGTATTTTACTTTACATTTAGGCTGAATACTCCTCAAAAGCAAAGGAAAACTATTTAAAATCGTGTAAGAGCTAAGTAGTCAGGATAACCTTTGATCAACCCTTCCGCTGATTCAGCGAAATTGCTGTTCTCTAATGCTTAAACAGACTGAAAGGAAAATCAAATGGTTTGATATGTTAATTTACTTTCGTCAACGAAGGATCACGATCCTTTCCCAAACTAAAATTTCTAAAAAAATTTTAGAAAATTTATCTTTTACAAAACAAAAATTTTCTCTTAGAGTTCAAGTGCACTTGGCAGGAAACCAATCTAGTTTTTATAAACTCTTTCTCTACTAAGGTAAACAAGTCACGATTTTTATTTTTAGAGACATGATTCGCGAACCTGATATGGCGTCACTTGACATGTGTCAAGTCGGTTTTGGAAAAGTGATAATTATTGTTTGATCGCGAAAGAATCCGGTGTATTAGGTGGTCTGTAGTTCAAAAATAACTCTCTACTCATCAAGCTTCTATTTAAATGATATTGATAACGAGCCCAGAAAATGAATGGATGAGTAATGCTTTGTTTAGAAAGCTTTCACACTTCTTTTCTTTCCATTTTACTTAGTGTCCATTGAAATGATCAACCACACCACCTGACTGCTTTAAAAATAGTGACTGAGTAAAGGAGTCTGTCAAGAGTAAAAGGCAAAATAATTAACACTATTTACAGAGAATTCTAGACAGTTAAACGCAACAGAGACTTCATCGATACCTGTTGCCAATTATCACAGTTCACTGAGCTCCTTCCTTAGTGATGCCTTAGTTTTGTACGCAAAAAGGTTTCCATATATGTACGTTGGTTTATTTTAAAGGCATCTACTTTTAAGTCAGACATTATTACTGGTTTTTCTCAATAGACATGTACACAAACAGCGAATGTTTAATGTGTTCTGTTTACGCAGCTTGACAAACTGAGATATTGCTCAGAGGAGGCGTTCTCTTGTCTCTTTAAAATAGTTTTTCGTAGCGTTGCTGCGATACGTCATAAAATTCTCAATAGCTTTGAGGAGGCGTCGAATTTGAGCATCAGTGAGGAAATGAAAATTCTAAAAGGTACCTTAGATCGATTAAAGTATCCAAGGGAAACGATAATAATTTCTGGTTTTTAGCCCATTATTTTATAAACTCTTAAACACTATCGGAAAGTAAAGCAGAAACTAGGGGAGAAAGAGATTGTTGTTTGCAAAAGGTGGGCAGATACTCGGTCTTCCTATCGACATGGAGCTGTTGAAACCACTTTTACCAACAAGGAGTATTGTCAAGTTACCTTAGCTACCGTTTTATTTTAGTCTGCTGTGACTAAGAGGGATGGTGGCAAAGCAATACAAATGTAATAATGTAAAGTAAGGACCTGCTTAGGATGAGAGGCACTTTGGACTAACGATATGGTGCGATACGAAGCGATATCTCCGTTTTAGGCTTTGCACTTTCTTTCCAGGGTCAAAACTGACAACACGCACCATCAAAACGCAGTAACCCCACTGCTTTAGAACGTTACCGACAAGACGTCATGCTGAAGCACTCTTAAGGGGTATAAACTACGACTTGCTGATGAAATGGTACGACAAGTGTTCATTTACTTTGCCTAAAGCGGTCAGAGGAAAATATGCATGGGCGTATTTCCTGTGACGTTGCTGTTTACATTGATTTGTCGCAAACGGGTTTGCCCTTAGAAGGTAAAGCAGTATACACAAATTTGTGTCTAAAGACAATTCATTTCCTCTTAGACAATGGTTCCAAGCGCGAACGTAATTACGCGTCGAGAGTGGCGGTCGCTCTCATGCTCCAAACTACCTCGCTAACCCTACTGAATTCAGACTTTGAAAGAACATGTTAACTTTAAACATCTACGAACAATCCGACTCACGCCCATAAGTCACAGAGGGAAAAAAAGCACTAAAACGGATGAAATAAAATCTTTATTGCCTACTTTCAGTTAATAATTCAAATTCATTGGCTTAAAATATTTACATGCAGATGACAGCATCTTGACACTGTTGACTTCTGTTAAGGAATTTAACAAGAAAAGAGACAGCAACTTCGTACCTGCATCCAAAGGGAAAAAAAGAAAACTTCGAAGTCCCCGTGACTAGGTATTTACAAATCAATGAACTGTCTTTGAGGATAACAACGTGGACAAGCTACAGCAAAATGATACCGCTTATCATTAACTTAAATACGCACGACTTTCAAGGCAGTAAATTGTTAATAACTATCCTTTCTTCATTAAAACTAACTTCCACTAATAAGAAACAGAGATTATTCAAGGCCAAAAAAGTATGACAACTCAATTGTAATCTTGCTTTTTTTTAAAACTTTTTGTTTAAGGGGAAAATGATAAAATAACTTGTTCTCAAAAAAAATGAGAAACCGGGGCTGGTAGTTCAAAATACTATGGTGCTGATCCAAGAATTTTAAATGAGCGATTTGTATATTTAAGCGAGACTCTCCGTTTTCTTGTCTCACTCGCATGAATCGACTCAGAAGTTACCTTCACAGTTTCACCATACATTTATGGTGAGCACTATTCATTGAGAATGTTAATCTAATAAGAATGGCGCTGCTCAAAGAACCTATTGAAAACTCTCAAGTCTACGAAGTAATCGCAATACTTCTAGGTTCCAATGATCAAGAATGCGTTTCAAAAATATTAAGTGCGCTAAATTCTTCTGTTTACCACAACTATTTGCAGATCATTTGCTAGGTTATGCTGTTGATTTTGAACGACAGCGATTTCCTTATCTAAAACTGCAAGATGAAATAGGCGATGGGAAATGTAAAACTGACAAAGTTGTTGACATCCAATACTGGATTAACGTTCGTCGTATTTTGAACTATCAGACCCGGTTGGGTGAGAAAAAGTTAAGTTTATCCATACACTGTTCACTGACTGAACTTCTTTTTTGATTTGTCAGCCTTGACTGCTTTTAAATTCACAGGAAATATTTACCCTGCAAAAGCCCTGATGTGGACGACAAAAAATTTTCCGGACTTCATAGTAATTGTGAATAGACAAAACTTCATAATTTTGAAATATAATAATACATTTTCCTTTAGTGATCAATTCCTCAAATACTCCACATTTCAGTCAAATCATGACGAACAGACACCAGTTGATACAGGGTTTTTTCTTTTCCGAACATTTATCTTAGATCCCTAATTTCTGAGAAAAAGGTCTTTTTTATGCCTCATCATAAGGGGGATTCGTACACCTTAAACACTCCGCGTCAAGTGTCAACCCAAGGCATGAGATTTTAAGATGACAGGGTCTCCAAAAGGCAACGAACACTTCTCAAATGATGCATCGAAAATTAAGTCAAACAATGAACAATCAAAGCTAACAATAAAAGAAGAGAGAAAAACTGATATAAGCAAATATCGAACAAACCCTTTGGATATTATACAAAAATAGACAACATATATCTGGCGCAAGTCGTGAGAGCTCTTTCTTAAAAACGCAATCATCACTCTTACTGGTGACTTGCAGGAAATATCTCTTGTAATCGTGAAAACTTCATGGAATAAGCTCCGAAATACGGTGACTTCTTGACAGGTCCAAAGTCCCTTCTCCATCTGCCATGCTTCATTATAGCGACCCACGTTGACTTCATATTTGAGAAACGAAACGGTAGGAATGCACAGTCGAACCACAAAGACACAAGAACAGCAGAGGTAATAGAACAATCTGCCCGTTGCACCGTCCATAAGAAACACTCACGAAAATGAATTTTTATAGACCGCGCTGTTCTCAATACAGAACTCCTCGCCGAATTTAACTCCACTTGAAGATAACGTGTCTTAAAGTCACAATAATAACATTATGCGCTCTCCTTGACTTGTTACAAAACACAGAAGCATTTGCAAAGAGGCTAAGTTTCATCCCTGCCGCATACACGCGCGGATACCGCGCAAAGACATGAACTATGCGTGATTGTCTCACGGACGAGACCCTGAGGAACCACGCTCAATATATTCCATTAAGACTTTGAATATAATAACATTTCCCTTTCATTTCCGCCACCGTGAAGCCGGTCTCTAGTGAGTATTAATTACGCAGTATATTTCATGTAATGAAAAGGACATATCGTCCTACACTGCAGCTGGTTACACCCGCAAGGGGCCAGCGCTGACCTGTAGCCTCTCGTCATTGGTCTGCTGTTGCACCACGGTGCCGTTGTTCTCTGTGCTTCTTGTGCTTGACGTGCTGGAGTTACTCACAGTACTAATACTGCTGGTACTCCTGTGTTTTAACGAGAGCGTGTTCGACCCACTACTACCCATACTAGAGTTAGTGTCAAAATCTTCCAGCTCCTTGACGTGCTTGAGTTCTAGCTCCTCCTGCTTTTGCGTTCTAAAGTCCTGCAGGCGAGTTGTCTCTTGAAACATCTTATAAAAAAAAAATCTAGGTTAGAAGCAGCCCTTAGAAATTTATAATTTCAATTCCAGCCATCCAAGTAACCCAAAGATAACAAGACACACCACCCTTGAACAACTTCGTTACCAGACAGACTTAAATTGGTTTTAGAAAACGCATAACAAGGGTATCTGATTGCTTTTAAAAACTGACACGGCACTATTTATAGAGAAACTTTAGTTCATCAATCATGCACTGAGCATAACTACTCAGGTCCTTATCAGATCAACTGTATTTTCTCTCATTTTCATCAGAGTCGATAAAAATCGCGCGCAAGCCATTTTTGGAATCAGTGGCTTTAGTATATTATCACCTCACGCAGAACGATTATGGCAAGATATGACGTAACTCGATCAATCAGAGGGTGCGCATTTCCAGTATAATATATGCAATTAAATTAACTCTTTTTCATAATTTGGGATCTATCTACGTTGACAAAATGTACTAAAGAAGGGATAGAAGGGATCTCTGTCACAATAAACTTTCATTATGAGCTGGTATGGTAGATTCGTTGGATGAATAGATTCCATGAATACACAACGCATGAGCAGGCGAGATACCTTTTCTTCCAGAAGGGCCCTTCTAACCGAGACCTTTTCCTGTAGGTCCTTCTCTTCGCGCTCGTGCTGGGCCCTTAGTTGCATGGTCTGTTTACTCTGGTAGGCGCTCAGTAACTCCTGCTCCTGTTGCAGCTTGACCCGTAGATTTTCCTGTTCGCGCACTTGGTCTTCGTCCAGCTTCAACTGGGTAGCAAAAGGAATCAAAATATCAGTTACCAGGATATAAAGCGCTAAGATTCGAAGATTGAAAGGACACGAGAAACAAGTTATCCCTCAGCCGCATATTTTAGAGCAATTGTCAAGTGGGTGCCGATCGTTATCCAGGATTAAACTTTTTGCCTTACTTCGCTCCAAAATCAATCTAGAAGACTCGCGCCATCCTTTCAACCGCTCTGATGTAGAACTAAACCAATCGAACTTCGTCGTTCGCTTATTTTTTCTTTGGTTACTAATTGATTCTTGGTGATGCCTTAGCTCGTTCTGATCGGCTGTTGTAATTCTTTGTTTGTGCTTTAACAAAACTCGCTCGAAATGCGTTCTTTAGCGAGTTCATTTAAGCGTCAGGGTTTCGACCAATTAGAAATGAGTAGCCTTCTCAGTCATTGACCATTCGACTATTACAAACTTACCGTTTGTCTCTGCAACATCTCAGAAATGCTCTGATCGTACTGAAGGGAGAGATCTGCCATCTTTCTCATCTTCTCCTCGCGCAGTTGCTTGGTGAGTTCCTTGTGCTTTTCCCTTGGCGCTTTCTCCAATATTTGTTTCTGCAAAGCTTTATACTGTAGCGTCTGTGTCTTTATCGCGTTTCTGTATTGCTTCTTGATGTGCATTTCGCGCGCCTGGAAGTAAACAAATTCTTCGTTAGCGCACATACTTGAGCGGTCGGGGTGTTGATCACTGCACCTGAGCAGTCGGTATGTTGAACTGTTTGCGACACATCTTCGTGAAAGCATGCGTAAGTTTCGGTTTAAATTACCAAACATAGTTGCCACCAACATCAGCATTAAACATTCCCTACCTTCACTTGTATAAATATCCCTCACCGCATAAAATGTAACATGCAGTAGTAGCGTTCTGTCACTTTTCTATGAATGACACGATGCAGTCCAGGCGAGCGCGGATTGTTCGCCTCGTGGCACGCCTATTAATTTCTAGCTAGCTCTCAGCGCGCCTGTAGTTAAAATCCTTCTTACCTTGAGAGTTTTTGGCTGCATTTTGAGTTCAAACAAATGTCTCTTTCTAAGTTCCATCTCGACCCGTTTGTTGTATTCCACTTGACTGTTCCACTCTGTTTGGTGCTGGTTCTGCTGCTGATCTCGTCTCAGTCTGTGTACTGAGCTCAAGTGTCTGAACTCCATGTCCTGAGTACATTCATGATGTCTTATCAACATCATGTGCGACAATTCCTTCTGCTCATTCAGCTTGTTCATCTCCTATAATGTTATAGTCAATTTACCATCAGCATCTCATCACGAGACTGTTAACCCTTTAACTCCGAAGAGTGACCAGCATCTAATATCTCCTTAGAGTATCACCTCTGAATTGTACATTAAGATTACAGGAATAAAAGTAGTGTGACTACCAACTTTTTACTCGTCCGTGACGAGAAAAATCGTGTCTCAGATCGTACATGTAGATGATGAAAATTTCTGAATCAAATCAATAAATTATCGAAGAAATGAAGGACTGAAGATGTTCTTCTTCAGACTTTTTTTTATGAATAGGAGTACAACACATACCCCTTACAAACAAACGAATCTTTTTTTTCTCTTTCCAATTTAAAATAACATTTCCTCCGCTGAACCAAAACCTAGCTGAATTAAATTTTGCTCGAGTTGCTAGTAAAAAAATGTTCATCTGTATACTATTGCAGATTCCCAGTAGAGTTTTCAGACAAGTGGCTTTAATCTCCTGTCGCCATTCGGAGAAGATTCTATTCCCAAGTATAAAATGCCCTACAACGCAGAGCTCGTACCTCGGTAAGTAACACTTTTTCCAAGTTCTGTCGCTGCAGGAGTTGTTCGCGGCGGAACTTTCTTAGTTCAGCATTGCGCACAATTTCATGTTCGTGCACTTTTTCTCGCAGCGCTCTCTCTTGCCGGTCATGTAATGAGTTTTTCTGGCCTTGATATGACATACGGTTGCTCTGATCCTGCAATAGCAAGTTAAAACAAACGCTTTGATTAGTTAGACGTAAGAACACCAGTTTCTATTAATCAAAGAATTGATCATCCTAAAGTGTTGCTTCAGCAAAAGGATAACACACTCACCTTTTTAAACTGGTTCTTAGCCGCTTTGTACGCCGCCTTCTGATCGGAAAGAAATATTTTCATGTCGTTGTCGTGTTTATCTTTGATGTGTTTCAGTAACCTCCTCTCGTCTGCTGACATCTGTTTCAGCTTTTGTTCCATTTCAGTCTTGTGTCTGGTCCGTAGTTTTTCCAAGTCTCTTTCAAACTGGTGTACCTTATAAACAAGAACACACAAGTTCATGCCATACACTTCAAAAGAAAACAAAACAAAGCCTTGAACCGAACTTAATGTGCTGCTCAGTGATGGCTTGTGATTAACCTTTCAGTTTCAACGCTATTATCTCGATGTATTTAATTTCCTCGAGTGTCAGGTCGGAGAATGTTCTCGCCCATTAAGACAACATCTCCAAGTCGAGGAGTTTCGTAATTTTCGTTGCCTGCAAATTCACCCGCCCTCATCAAGATATGTACAGTATATAAACAGTACCTGCTGATCATATTCCTTATCAAGATTCCTGCGGTGATCATTCATTTCCATCTGTAGCCTGCTCTCCAGTACAAGTACTTCCCTCTGATGAGTCTGCCTGAGCTTCTTGTACACTTCCAGCTGATCCCTCATTTCATCGCCCTGCCTGTTATGCTCCTGGTGCTGTCGGGCGATCAGGTTTTGCGGGCGAATGGTAGCAAACCTGTCATCGTCTTCACGATGTTGTTGCAACTGAAAGGAGAAGGGAAAAAAATGTCAATTTTAAGTGATCAAGACACTGAATATTCTAATTAATTATTTGGAACGGTGATTTGCAGTTAGTCGCCCTAAGCGAAGTGAATTACATGTATACCACATCAAACGTAAATATCATGACAAAAATATATCTGAAAGGAGGAAAGTATCACATTAGTGAAACCGAATCATGTCCTCATGTGGCCTGACTTTCGGCTGGAAGGTAATGTGTCACAATCTATTTACCCCTATAAAACTGGTTTGTTAATGATGAAACAGTTTTGCTTGGATAACAAAGTTTGCAAAAAATATTTTTGAGGAAAAGCATTAATCATACTAAAGTTAATTTGCCACAAGAAAAAGTAACTCCTCCCCTCCCCAAAACATAATACGAGAAACCACTAACACTGATAGACGAAGCAGCAAACGATGAAATTCCAGCGGCAGCTGTATCATTATCTTGCTCGGCTCCTTGTATACTGTCCGTGCTGCTAGCAACACTAGCTGTGCTGCTCACACTCGCTTTCTTGTTCTTATCCATCTCGGCGCTCTAAAAGGGAGGTAAAATTACACAAATAGGTGATTACTCTCCCATAAAAGTAATACATTGTGCACGAGAGAAAAGCTTCACAGAAGGTAAAGAGGAAAGAGAGGAGGTTTAATTTGGACAAAAAATATTCTTCAAGAGAGACTATTCGAGCCTTACTCTCACAATCGTACAATTACTGAAAACACATAAGAAGCTTGTCCGTTTAGCCGTCTAGCTTTCTAGTTTAACATTAACAGAATGCTTAAAGGTTTCAAGATTTGGAAAGTTTTATGGGTAAATGACAGTAAAAAAGTTAAGTAATAGTACTATTTAAGTCAAACATGTTCAACTGAACAGAGCATGACCAAGAATTAAAATGTGAAGTGGTAAGAGAACTGTCACTGATGAGTAACGTGCAACACAAAAGACACAAGTACAGGTAATGTAAATAAGAGTATTCTTTACCTTTGTAAAAAGTTTTTAGGCTGTTGGAATGGTTGTTAACTCAACATAAACAGGTATAGCTTCAGATGCTTTGAGCGTGCAATGTGATCATTTTCTGAGGGACTTATGAAAACTGAGCAGTATCACATATGTAACGGGAAGCATTTGTGGTAACAGTTCTGATGTAAGGAAGCAGATAAAGAATTCCTCCTGAATTGTTTAAGACAATAAGAGAGCCCTTTCTTGTGTCTTAAAGATTCATTTTCAAATGACTGACTATGATAAAAGCCATGGTTAACTGGATGTTTGACCGGCACAAATTTGATAAAAGGAATCTTTTTTCTCTTTGCTAAAACATTGAGACATGTAGTCACAATGACAACAATGAGGATGAGATGAGAAGGATGCAATGACAGAATTAGACGAAGGTTTGGATGTGCATACAACAGATGTGCAGACAGAACCTGTGAAGATCTGAAGTGAAGAAATGACGATGACGAAGATAAGGAGTCTTCAGAGAAGGCCAAGCTGTCCTCAGATGCCGAAGGGCCGTCCCCTTCCTCCAACACCCCATCAAAGTTTACATGGCATGCGGACGTGGGAACAATGAATAGAGACTAAGGTTTACATACATAGGAGAGACACACAGAGGACCTTTAGTAGGCTAAAGATTCTAATAAACAATCTCTGTTAACTGATAGGGGAGAAGATTGTCAATTCAACTGAGTAGAGCACTCTACCAGTATCATTTTGCCCAGTTCTGATCATACACCTGAAAACTACACCATCATCTTGCTACTTCATTTTACAATTACTCTTCCCTTTTCTCGTGTTAAATTATCTCTTTTTATTTAAAAAAAAGGAATTTAATTGAAAAGCACTAGTTCTAACTTTATCTTGCCCTTACCTAGGCTCAAGAATCAACCTGCATCCCAGAGATTTGCCTATGTCTCTCCCCACTCATGAAAAGGCAGAAATCAAGCTCTGCCACTCTCTATCTCTATAGTATTTCTTACAAACTGTTTTGAGTTGAGATTATGTCACAGAAATGTATAAAGATGCATAACACCCTGTATAAATCATTATGTATATCAACATCGCAGCTTATTGCAGATTTTTCGTCCATGGAGATGTGTGAAGAAGACAGGGAAGGAAAGGGCAGTGGGTGTCTTGCAAATGCCAGCAAATGGCTTGACATGACCCTCCCAATAAGCAGTGAAACACAGGTTTACCTATCAGTAAGGAATCAGATCTTCTCTATAGAAGTCTCTCTATCATATTTTAAGATAATTTGTTTCATTCTCACAAAACCACAACTGTGTTAACACTTGATTCTTTGTTCAGTCATTTTTCTAACCAAGCCATGGTGTGAGTTTGTATTGTCCATTTTTGAAAAAAAAAATAAAATGCTTACTCATGTGTCTTCTGTGTCCACTGCCTTAATGTATTTTCAATGTATTTTTTTTTTCAATTCTCTGCACCCTTGATATTTATGAGGTAAAAGCTACACAAAGCGCTAATCAATGTAAGGGTTGGTTTTGTGCAATACTATTTCAAAAAATGTTTTCAGTGCCAAAACAGAAAAGAACCATATTTAAGCCCAAAAGTTCAATTCACATTTTGTTACACAAATAGTGTCCACCATTGAGAAATGCCTGATTACAAGTTGTGGTAAGCTTTCACTTTCCAAAGTAAATTATCTGCCAAGATCAACTACAGAAAGACATGGAAAGAAACAAACATGCAAATTTGACAGTAACTTACTGCTTCTGACTTGTCATCATCATCTTCTGTCTCTGCAATAGAACTGTCACCTTCTTCACTTAACTCTCCCGTAGGATCCCCCATAATCATCTTCTTCATTTTGCGGTAATTCATGTTGTCAAGGGCCCTTACAGCCTGTTTTGTTCGCTCAATCAGCTCAAGGAGGATGCCTGTGGGTCTTGGTTGGGATACAAATGGATGCTGGACAACAACAAAAAACACAATTTATCGTATCAGATATGTATTGAAAATGACAAAACAACCTACAAGTACCTTTTATTGACCTGATCCCACCGTAACATTTTCCTTGTCAAAATGCAGAATTCTTCAGGCATTTCTCATACTTCACATATTCCAAGCTCTTTAAAATGTACACTTAAGAAACATATTTAATCACACTCCAGTAACTTACTTGTAGAAGATCTTCTGCTGTGGGTCTTTCAGCTGGTTGCTTCTTCAAGCATAGCTGAACAAACTCAACAAAGCTTGCACTCCTAAAATTAAAAAATGAAAAAATAAATAAATTAGACCTGAAATTTGAAATAACTACCTTGGAGGACACAATGTACATTTATTACTACATCTGCATAAGCTCAAAAAAAAAAACTGACAAATCCTTCACCCTACCCTATCCATTGCTAGGGAATTAAGACCTACGTCTTCCACAGGTGCATTCACAAATACTTTAACAATTAGTGTTGTTCAACTTACCAGTTATCTGGAGTAGAAAGCATTGGTGGATCATTCTGAGCAATGTGATAGAGAGCACTCATGGCATTCATGTTGAAAAGAGGTGGCTTTCTCTCAGCTAAAAAAAATTTAAAGGCACATTATGTATTATCTAAATTCCTGTTGTCTGAAATATGAAATGTAAATGATATCAGCATTGACAAATATCACATCATTGGTGGATATGGCATTGTGGCCACACAAAAATTTTGTATCACTGCAATTCCATTACAGATGTGTTCCACTTATGTAAAGGTCGTCCGATTTACCAAGCAATATGCTATAAACCTTGCAGACAAATCAAGAACATACCTAGTTCAACACATGTGATTCCTAATGACCACACATCCACCTAAGGGAGTAAACCAAGCATTAGCAAAAACAGCCATGTGCATGCAGTTTGGAAACCACATTCCATTAAAAAAAAAGGTAAAATGTAAAGTATGCAATAAACTTTACACCAGATAACATTTGACATGACCCTTCCTTTTGTAAAAACAAGTCATCATAATAATTGCTAATGTTGGAAGCATACAGTGCACAATCTAGAAGGCATGAACAATTGATCTTCATGTAAGTTCCCAGTTTTTCATTGACAAAGTTTCCAGGTAATCTAAGGTTGAAAATCTCGTAAGGAAATCACTTTAAATTTTGTTCAAACAAGTGAGGAAATACGTTTGACCCTCTGTGAGTTATCAGTGAATTAATTTCCCAACTAATAAATTATATTTTTGTTTGGATAGCCCCAGAAATTCTCACAACTTTTCCAGCAAAGAAATGTGGGTACCTTTCCATCATACTGTCCTTCATCCATGGCTAAGATAACTTCAGGAGCCATCCTAGCAAAGAGTGAAACTATATCAATATGTGTCTTATCCACATAATGTATGCTAACACATTTTTATCTTTAAGGCTGGATTACAATTATAAGTCTTCAGAAAAAGGGAGCAGGAGCAGAGAGCAATATGGAAGACACAGATACAGGGAGCCATACAGGCACTTCTAGAGTGGGAAAAAAATCTCATGACAGGCCTTACATATGTTGTGGTTCAATTCTATCCTTGGTTCAAATTTTATTTTCTTTCCTTTTTGGGTATTGTAATGTATGATAATGAGTTTGAAACAAAGGAAAACAAAATTTGAACCAAGGGAAAAATTGAACCACAACACATACAACAACTTCATGGAATCAATAAAAGGTTGAGAAGTTAGTAATACTACACACTGGAAAACAGAGGCCATATAACAAGCTGGCTTAAATTCCTTACCAATATGGTGTGCCCACAAAAGAATTTGCTGGAGCTGCTAGAGCTGCTGAACCAAAATCAGCTGAAGAAAAAAATGAAAATAGTTTACTTACTTATTATTTGCATCAAATGTAAAGGACAAATGTTTACAGAGAAAGAAAATAAGGTACAACTCACCTAACTTGACTGTTCCATCTTCAGTCAAAAGAACATTTCCAGCTTTAATGTAAACATGCAAGAAAAAGAGTCAGTTCTGCCTAAATTATCTGAACCTGTTTCCTCAGCATCAAGTGATACAAACTAAGAAAATCAATCAGTTTTTAAAGTCTTAAAATGTTTTAAAAAAAATTATTTCTCATTTACCTTTCACATCCCTGTGAATTCTTCCATTTCTGTGCAGATATCTTAGACCCTAAAACAAACAAACCAAAACTTAATGATTTGTGAGAATCATCAACAGCTTAAAAGCTTTAACATGGAACATTAATGACCTAGATAAACAAAACAATGAACAAATATCTGGGCAATTTTAATGATACCACTCTGTTGATGTAACATGCTTACCTGCAAAGCATCTTGGCATATTGCAGCAATCTCTACTTCTCTAAGTGGTTTCTTGTGAACTGTATAAAAAAAAGAACATTCAAATCAAATTAGCTTATAACATTTCCAGCTACACTGAAATAAACAAAGAAATGTTCCTACTATGATATGTTTACATAGTATTACACAAATTTGCAAGATTTTGTATGTTATGAACCAGAGTCAATCATAGAAAAAAAACCATTCAACATACCCTCTAAAATATCTGAAGTTGAACCAACACAATACTCCATAACAAGCTAAAAGATGAGAAAAGGACATAATTGACATCTGAAAGTATTTGTAGTACCTCTATTTACAAACACTACTTTAGATTACTTTGCAATCAAAGACAAGAGAAAAGTTGTGAAAACTTTTCTGTTCAAGGCAAGATTCACGGTATAAATACCTTGTGCGCTTTGCTTATGTTTGAAGAATATTTCTTTCCATATTTAAAATAAATATTGCAATCACCTAGTTGTGGCCTCACCAAGACCTACATGTATGTTTAAAAACCTACCCATGCTGTATGCTCCTTTAAATGACATCCCTTATAGCTAATGGTGTTCTTGTGGCTACAGAGCTTTAGAAATTTAACTTCTTTCACAATGTCTTGCCATTTCTACAATATTCATAAGAGATAACAGCTTCATTAGAAATTTCACCTATAATGTAAAATTAAGAGTAGTATTCACAGTTTTGGAAAATTTCAAATATGCACAACTGCATGCATTTGAAAGTGTCATCTGAATGCCATGGGTCATTTTTTAAAATGTGTAAGATTAAACAAGTAAGGATTCCCATTCTTTACTAATATGATTGGGAGTAAGTCTTAGCATATGTGTAAATGATTATAAATCTGTGTTTATAATGAAGGTTTTGTCCCTCCCTCCCTGTAAAGAGAGTACTTACTTGCACATGTAGAGTACCACTCAAAAGAAAGTTGACAGTGTTGATTCAAAACTCAGTCCTCAAAGCCATCAAGAATTGAGGATTGTGGATTGACAATTGAGAATTGAGGCTTGAAGCTCATGTATTGAGTATCAAGAATTGAGTGTCTAGAAATTAGGAACTAAATCCTTGATACTGTATCTGTTTTTGCTTACCTCATTGGACTGTTTGCCACCATAGGACATCTTCTTGATTGCCACCACCTCATTAGTTTTAACATTTTTGGCCTAAGGACAACAAGTTTCAAATTTTAAATTCAATTAATTGATACCCTTCTCAACCAAGGGTACCTTGTTGACCTGCTTTTATTCAACTGCTTGTGAAATTTTGGAAAGCAATTTATTAAGACAAGACAGCCTTTCAGCATTTATAAAGTGTCTTGAAATGCAATTACCAAACCTTACAGTACAAGTTGAGGATAGAGATCAAGGTTTAATTAAGACACAAGTAACACTCTTCAGCTGAGTAGTTTTAAAATTCTCAACAACTGTTTTCTAGATAATGAACCAATATTGTGTAGAAGTTGTACATCAAAACAGAACCTTGAACTTTGGAAGACTTACATAGTAAACCGCTCCAAAGCTGCCATGTCCAATTTCTCTCAGATCAATGAAGAGTTTCTCTGGGTCTTGCTCATCAAACAAGCCCGAATATTCCGAATTCCTAAAGAATCCTCCCTTTCCATGCCCTGCCAAGGGCATAGCCGCATCAGGATCCCTCTGTCCACAGCGTAACAAAGAATTCTTGTCTAAAGCCTAAACAGAGAGATTAAGGTACAACAGTTATTTCATCTAATCATAAATATGATATCCCAATTTATACAGACAAATGTTCTTAAAGAAATTACAGACCTCAGCATGGGACTCTGGGGAATTTACTATGGAGTTTGTGGTCTTCAATCCCCTAAGTCTTAATGTGATGTCTCTTGTTTATGCCCAATTTATAGAAAAAGAATTCAGCCACTGGTCTGGAAACTGTATTGTTATGGATAGTCTCAAGCTTGAGCTGCATTACACATTTCCGAAAAAAGTCTATGCTTGTACTAAACTGTTAAACACAGGTTTTAAACCTAAGAGCACATTATGTTGGATAGCAATTCAGACTACCCTTACAGCAAAATATAATTCTTCTTAAAAAGCAGCATCTTTTACAAAACTGTTTACAAGATACCTTTGCAGTTCTAAAGTCCTAAAAATTTTTAAGTAGCAAAGGCATTCTGCAAAACAATGTTTTGCCTTGTCAGGGTTTCTGAGAAAGTGTAAATTCCAATAAAATTTCAGTTTTCCCCTTATAAGTCTCTTTATGTTTAGTTATGGTTTATACAGAGATTTCATGGGGTAAAACTTGTCAAATACTTTAGAATACTTTCCATAATGAAGAAATTTCATTGAAAAGTTTTCCTTGATATTTTCTCCTCATAAGTTAACTGTTACATAAAAAAAAAACTTGACAAAGAAAATCTGGCAGTGTAAATGTTTTTTGATCTAAAAAAGCACATTACTCTAGCTATTAACCCCTGGAAAATTATTTCAGTTTGAGTATAGTAAGTAATGAGAATATGTTTCTAAATCTGCAGTATTTGATATTGCTCATTGCTTATAGAGTCACAGGAGTACAAATATATAATACCAGTTTAAGAGCTGCTATGGGCATGTACATTGTGAACATGTATCCTGAGTCAGAGAAATTTTCCTTAGGCTATATAGCGACCCTGTTTACTTGGAAACCATGTTCTCCTGAACAAGAACACGAAACATTTTAATCTACAATCAAACTATGAAATCTTGTTTAAAGTTTAAATAGTAACTAGGGTTACCTAAGGGACTGCAAACAATGGACAAATTAAAAATTAAATATTTGTAATCCACCACTGAATTTTTAAAACCATGAACAGCAACAAAGGCATATAAAAAAACCAAAGGTTACAAAACATTTCATTTCACAATTCATTTGATTAGAAACAGAAAATGATGATCTCAACATCCTTCACCTCAAGGAAAACCACAGAAGAACTTGGAAAAAAATCCATGAATAAAGGTAAACTACCTGACAAACAGAACATACTTAAAAGGCACTATCAAGAAATAGTTTAAATCAAAATACACCATTAAATATGTCTACCTTTCAAAAATAGAATAACATTTTCGATATTTTAAAGTTAGTCTCAAAGACTGAAACAGACCAAATCCAAATACCAAGAAGTGTAACTAAAGCAGTCAGGTTAATACGGAAGGCAAACTCAAATTTAACCACAATGGTAAACTCTCTGGGAGTCAAACTGTTACTGTGGTCAAACACTATGTGATATCAAATTTCTGAACTCAACAAAAATTAATAGCAAAGGGGCTCCTTGTCTTGTAAGAAATAATCATTGCCCCATAAGTTTAAAGCTGAACAGATTAAGAGCTTTTCATGAATCTACAACTACTGATTGAATATTTACTTGATTCTATTAAAAATGTACCCTTGATGTTGGGGAATAATTCAAATATAACACAACCTTTAAGGTAGCTAGAAATTATATTGTCACAAACACAAGAATCACTGGCTAAAAATTCATTACTTAAGTGTTATAGTTTGACATGATCGTTTCAGAGGTAATGATATTCAAAACATCACGTTTCTTGGGACAGTCAGTTCTAAACAATAGTGACAAAACAAGGATTATGCAAGAAGAGATACATCACAATAAAGGATTCCGTGTTATTTCACATCCCAACTAGAATTTGATTGCAATCGTATTGCCCAACGAAACAACACACTTGGTAGCAACGTTCTATTAAGGGTGACATCATTTCAGTGTTTAACACGTACATGGAATGCAATGTACTTAATTATCCTCGAAAACGATCTTTATGAATACCTAGCAGACAATAACAAAACCAAAACTGAAGCACGTACGAACTGCCCAAAGAAACTAAAACTTCGATCGTCGATCGAGAGGTACTTAGAGTTGAAGAATAAGAAATAAATTCCAAAATCATCAATGTGTATTAATGTTCCGATATTAATCGCAAGGGCGACCAGGTACAATCTAAGATGATGCATGGGTGCTAGATCACGATACAATATGTAGCGTTATGAAAACCATTTAACATACACTGGTTTCCTTATCGAGAAAATAAAGCAAAGAAATACTTACACACGGCATACAGAATAAAAGTTCCGAAAGGTTTGGGTGATAATCCTTTGCCCTCTTTTACCGGAAACTAATCGATCTAAATCGGAGCAATTTTCGAATCGATCTCTCGTGTCGAGCCAAATCGTAGTGTCACAGCGAGGACGAGTTTACGAGGTCTTAATAACTGTCTCCGTTTCTGATAGTTATTTACGTCTGAGAGACGAAAGAGGAAAAACAATGACGACAAAGCATCTTCAAACAAGGTCAGTGTCATTGCCTATAATGGCAACGGAGAATAAAACCACTTTGTGGTACACATTCCGGACGTAAAAAAATCGCATACACCTCACTATCTAACGATTCAACACTCACGAGCTGCCACGAGACTATCACAGGACACCGGTAATTTTCTCTCAATCTTTCCGTAAACGATGGATCAAGCGACAGTCTGTCTGGAGAATTCCCTAAATTGAACATGCAGAAACAAACCATTGAATAGTGTCGATCGTGGCGACGTAGAAAGAACCTCGGGGGTGCGCCCGAACATGGCCACTCATTTCCTTGCGAATACAAAAGAGAACTTAAACAAACGGCGTCCGCCGCCTGTATTTAAATTTTCTTCATCATAGATTAGGGCAAAATTCTCCTACAAAGCTACGTGACTACGATCAAGGCGAAAGAAAAAAACAATATGGTCCAGGATTATCAGGTCCAATCGCCTTGATCTTCACGTAAATGCATGCCTGTCCGATAGATTCGCTTTCTTTTGCAATTCTGTTCTCAACACCGAAAACATCGGAAGCCATGGCATCAGAATTTATCGAGTTACAGCATTGTTACAAACTCGAAGAGATGAGCCATAAAACCTTTTAAAAAATCTAACTCGAAGAAAGAGTCTTCAATATGAAGCTATTTCAGCGAGCTACTACATGCGATCGGACGTTACAGCACCATATTACGGCAGAAGCTATTGTCCGACGGATGTACAGCATGCGAAACGAAAATTGTTTGCGTTTCGCGCCAGGATATCACGACTATACCGCTCTGAAATGGAGAACAGTAACTGTAGGTCTCAAATTTACCTCTTATTCTGGATATCCTTCGAAGAATCTTCATGAAACACAACAAAAACTCATGAAATGCTAATCACTCCCAAACATCTTCCCAACAACATGGCGAATTTTCTCGCTCTTACGCGTGCGCATGACGTATGTTGATCAACATTCCCGATACCACCCTTATTGATCCCAAATTTACCTTATGGGGGTGTAGTTGGAGGACACGGTTGGAATAATAATAATAATAATAATAATAATAATAATAATAATAACCGTTCAGTCTCCTTGATGCTGGCTTTAAGTTAAGATTGAGTTATCCTAGGAAACGAAAAATCTTAAAACTTAAAGAAAGTTGCAAATCTAGGAGATATTTATTGGTTATATAGAGGTAGATTGATATTAGGGAAAATCACTATTTAGTTATTCAAAATAAGAAAATTTTTAAATTTTTATTCATAATTTATGCTGTCTTTTTCAGTAAATCACAAAAAAGGTGCAGCTAAGTTATTGATTTGGAAACTCTTGATTTAACTTTGAGAGTACTGAAAGGCCTTAGCCACCATTCCTCATGACCTCTACCCTTTGACATCTGTCTTGGAAGCATGCAGTAATGATAGCCAAGTAGATTTTCATGCAGCATGCCTATGATGCTGGATCGTTCTTGGATATTGTAAGAAATAACATGTTTATCACTTGTGGGAGTTACAATTGACTTATTAGGGTCACTGCTCAAAACCATTCAAAAAATTTTGTTTAACATGTACAGTTACATTTGTCTTTTAACACAATTTTACATATTTAATTAGCTAACTGATATGAATTTGATTTCTGCCATGTTCTTATGTCTGTGTTTTTTTTTTATCTTCCTTGAAAAAAAGGGGTGAGTTTGGGTTCATTCCCCTTTTTAGTGCCTGTTTTTTTTTTTATCTTCCTTGGAAAAAGGGGGAAAGTGTAGGTTCATTCCACTTTTTAGCAGGTGGTTTTTGCAGGACATTTCTCCACAATGTAAAAAAGGAATATATGGTTTAATGATCCAATTATAGCAACAGACACTTAATTACAAAATTCTCCTAAAAAATCTTGAGTAATAAATACTTACTAAATTTATAGACAAACATGCATTTTTTGGCATTCATTCCCACATGAAAATGTACATGTACCAACATATGTTCTTCAAATACACCAGCCCTACTTTGCCATTTTCATCATTCTTTTTTTTCAAATAATTTCTTGAACAGGGTCTGACAAAAGGCAAACACTTGAACATCAGCCTTGAAACTCTATACGATGGTCAATTTATGTTTTCAACTCAGTTGATGACACTAAGTTACCCTGTTATACTCTCCCATCGACAGAGCACCACAGTTTCTTTAGAAACTTATACCCTTTATTCATATTTCTTGAACATATTGACAATTTCTTTCTGGAATTCTCTTGCTCTTCACCAGCTGAGGATAAATCTGTCTGCTACTCAGCAGCTTTTTCCTGACTAAAAGACATTCTTGTCAAGATTACTAATTAGTTGTTTTACAAAAAGTTTTCTCTCACACAGTACAAGTCTGAAATAAATATATGACAGACTTTAACATCAACGGGTTGTTAGCATTCGAAGCTGTTTCTTTTTCATTCGTTTTATCTTTGCTGTATTTTTAATCTGAAACACAAACCAGAACAAAGACCAAATGTAAGCCATTGCTCATTTTGGTAATGTAAACAACTTAATGGAAAGTGATTCAAGTATGTGACAGTTTTCTGTGTATCAAAGTAGTATGGTTTTTGCCTCAAAATTATGGTAGATATGAAGTGAGCTCACAGTCACCCACACTGCTACAGGTGACTTTGGTATTCAGAGCACAAAGCATTGAAGAGTATGGCTATTCTACCTACTCCCCTCTCTGGACCCTACTCCAATACAGAGAGTCCCCAGCATTTTGTCTGGTTTTATCATTTGTTTCATTCCCTTTGAAAACTGATTGAAGTTCTCAAAACATTCTGAAGCTTGTTGTCACCAAAGACCACATCAGTGCAACTAGTGGCTAAATTTAATCATTTAAGATACCTTGATTAGAAAATGAAAAACAAATCTTCAATAAAGGATATTTTATGAAAGATTCGTCACACCTCTTGTACAACTTGAGATTTCTTTTCATTCTCCTCTTTTTGCTTTCTTCTTTCCTCAATTTTTCTACGTTTTTCCTGAATATAATACAAAACCACCTTTATCAATCATAGCAATCAGAAAACAGTGCATAATAAAAATAAAGTATTCAAAACAATACAAAAAAATAACAGTTGGTGTTAAAAAATGATTTTTCATTCAATTATCCTAAAGATCAAATTAGCATGATTAATAGAGAACAAAAGATGGATTGTTCTTTTTTTCTGTAACTTTAAATATAAGCATGGTCTCTGCCACCTGCTAACCCTTTACCTCTCATGAGTGACCAAGACAGAATTTCTCCTCACAATATTAATAAAATATCAACCAGAAAAGTGATGAGAATAAAGAAAATTTTCAATTTGGGGATATTAGTTGATCCAATACTAAATTCTCTGAACTAACATAAGAATTGTATGGTTGACAGTAAGGAGAATTACAAATTTGATCTGGGAGTTAAAGAGTTAAAACCTTCTGTAAAATCAGAATAAAAGCCTTCTAACCTCTTTCTGTCTCTTTGTTTCATCTCTGAGTTCCTTTTCATAAATCTTCATTAACTTCTTTTCCATTCTTTCTTTCTGTTTCTTGTCCCATGGTGTATGTAATGGCTGAACACCAATAACAGCTGACTTCCTGTGAACAGAAGCACAACATAATCAGTCACTATAGTCAAACTGAGCTCAAAGAATAGGCCTATGGTGTCCATTGGAAGTGTCTCTTGAGAAACTGCCCAAGCAAAAACAAGTAATTGATTCAGAGTATTTCAGTACAATTTTCTTGAAAATCATTCAGACATGATATTATGTAATATATAAACTGGTGATAACTGTGCAAATTTCATTCCACCTTCCCAATTTTATTTCTGTCAATTGATTCTTAATTCTTACATTGTACATTTGTTATCATTAGATTTGGGTGTCTTCCATGGGCATAATGCATGTTTATATTACAAAACCCAGTTTCACCTCAATGCATCACTTTCAAGGTACAGACAGGCAAATTTTAAAGGGAAGGTATTCCCAAAACACTGAAATCAAAAGAATACCCATATGAAAACAACAAGAAAGTGGCAAATCAAGATGAAAATGAAGCTGGGGGATAAATTTTCAGCAACTGGGGTCATCATGCATAAGAGCTCTTGTTAAATGGTTCTACCCTTAGCTGCTGATCACAGGCATGTGGATAACATCATTGTCATCAACATTATTAGTACCATTTTGTTACCATTATTACTCTTATTACCATTGTATTACTATCATTATCATCATCATCATAATATCGTTACAGTTCAATTTGCAATTTGGTCTTTTAAGATTGCTTAGCACAAATTACCAATCAATACATCAGCCTGATGTCTTCAAAGTCTGGGATACTTAAATTCTCATACAGGCTAGTGATAAACAATGCAGATGTACACCTTGAAATTCCGTGTCCAAGACATAATAATACAGCATGATTGAGAATAGGTGTTCTCTACTCTTTAACCAGAGTAAAATTCTCCACTTGACCCCAGATTGCTCTCAGACCAATGGTGCTTGAATGAATTGTAAGCCCATTGACTCCTGAGTGTCAAAGAAGTGTCTTCACAAATCATATTTGTAATAAAACTGGGAAAATGAGCCATATTCTTTGTAATGTCTACATAGTCTATGTCAATGGTTTTTATAAAGTAGAAGTTTTACAGTTGAGAACTTTATTTCCTGCCACCTGCCAGGTGGTTTACCAAAATTATTACAAAATAAAACTTGAAGATGAAAGTGCTCATGCCTAAATTACAATAAATGGCACCACTCACTTTGAGGCCAAGATTTTACAATTAGGTGCAAATTTGACTTTCACAAGCAAGATTTCCAGACAGTCCCACTCTCTACTATGCCTGCAGTTCTTGTAGAAAGAAAAAAATGGCGAAACTATAGATTAACTTATTAGAGAGCGCGGCTATGTTTTAGAATAGTATGGGGTTATACAGAAATCACTCCTATTATGGAATATTACGACGTTATTAAAAATATTGTTCAGTCAATAATACAGCACGTCAAAGGATATCAGATAACAATCCTTATATTTAGCCACCATCATCACTCTCTAAGACGTTTAGAGGCGATTTTATCTCCCGTAGCCTTGCGAATCAACAACTTTAAAAAAACCTTATCATAAAATCTGATGTGATAAAAAGAAAGTCCATTTCGTATCCGATTCAGCGTAAACGTAGTTTGTTCCAAACTATCGATGTTGTCAAGTAGAGAGTGAATTTTGATCTTTGCTATAAAGGTTTGATCGCAATGTTGACCTTAAAAAGACATTTAACTCTAAAAGGAACTGACCTTTTCTTCTCGCTCTTCCAAACCCTTCCAGACTTTGGTTTTCCGCGTGGGATGCTTTTACGCTTTACCCCTTCCTCTGTTGTTTTGGATGCCGCCATGTTGTTCCATGTGCTTACTGACGCCCGCACGTGAGTCAGCAGATTCACCATTGGCTCCACGTCACTTCCTCATTCAACATGGCGGCCAAAACGTTCCAATTTGGACGGATTGTTCTCCAGCCTTCAGTGGTGTTTTTCCACTCCAAATTATCATTTGCTTTTGTGAACAGAAAGCCAGTCCTCCCTGGACATGTTCTTGTGTCTCCTATTCGCGTTGTAAAGAGATTTTGTGACTTAACAGAGGAAGAAGTCATGGACTTGTTCGTTAGCACGCAGAAAATTGCTCGTGTTATTGAGAAAGAGTATGGGGCGACCTCACTCTCGATAGCGATCCAAGATGGACCCGAAGCAGGACAAACAGTGGAACATGTCCATGTACACTTGTTACCAAGGAAGAAAGGAGATTTTGAAAGCAATGACGATGTTTACAAAGCGCTCGATGAACATGACAAACAACAAATTGAGTCAAAGGGGGTTGAATTTAGGAATGAAGATGATATGTCTAAAGAGGCAACAAATTTAGCCTGTCTTTTTTCTACAGGGCTATGACCAAGTGTTAATTTAAATGATAAGAAATGAGTGCCTTCACGATTAGGCCAGGAACTTGTGTAGTCAAGACGATTCGCAAACTTTCTCTGGTCCAGCTGTTCTGCCTATACGCTTAGCGTGTTTTTGTCATTAGCTACTACTGTTTCGAACTCAATCTATGATTTCTACGAGTGGATGGTCTACAGCTACTATTTGAGAAATGGAATTAAATGTGTTGGATTTGAGCCTCGAGTATTCATTTCATAACGATAGGACTGTTGATCTGTTTCCTTTAACCCCCTCGATTGCCTGTCAGTTCATACATTAAGTACGACCAGTGTATTGGCAAGTCAGTCAGTCAACCCATAGGCAAGCCAGCCAATAAGCTGGATTGGTAAGGTAGTCCTGTAAATGAAATATTGTTTTAACTTTTACAGTTTAAACTCCATTTGATTGCCTATGCCCAACTTTCAACAATAGTTTATAAAGTGAATAAAACCCTCCTCTTTTGAAAAAAGTCAGTTTGCCAGGGGTAAAGAGTAGTAACTGTCTGTGTGGGGAAAAGAAGCGTAACAATGTACACAAAGAGTCGTTGCTCATCCTAAGTAAGCTGTGAGAAGGGAGTGATGGAATGGGAAACTAACAAAATTACAATTAAAGTGGTTATAAACGTTGTGTGAACCTGACTTGAAACTAGAAGCAGTGGAAAAAAAGTTAATCTGTTAATCTTTTTTAACACGACCATAAGAGACATCGTACAGCAAGGCAGCAGTGAAGGTATATTATGATACATTAGGTGGAAAGCTGCTAGCAACACATTGAAAAGAGGTAAAAAACAACATCAAAAGACGAAAACAAAGGAAAAAAACTGTCCTGTGGCTGATGAAAAATACCAACAAGAACACTGGGTGGATAGGATAACATTTATTGACAATCACCGGTTAAGATAACACTGCTTTAAAATTATGCTTCAATAGAAAGCACCGTTTAAGTAGAAACATTACACATTGAACAGAAAACTTATGAAACCCACTGAATGGAGGCCTTAAAAAGCAGCCAACTTGATCATCAAGATTTGAACAGCTTTAGTTAGTACAACCACAAGTATCATGAATCAATCTTCAACACTCTGTTTGACTTAATTTCTATGTTGCAGTTCACCATCGATCAACAACTGAAGTCAAACCAATTGTCTATTGTTTCTTATTTACTGTTTAAATACAATTGTCTATGATGCTAAACCAGTGTTACTTAAAATGATGGTAAGTAACTCTTCTAACTCCTCTGCCTGGTAACCTTCTGAGCCTCACTTTATCGGGCAACAGAGAAATTTTTGGGCACTAATTATCTCCAGGAATCGTGGTTTGCACAGCTGCCACTGTGCATGCTTCATTGTAACTTCCACACTTCCAACCGCTAGGTTCTTTAAGCTTCAGGCAGATGAAACAGAATTCTTTACCACAGCGACAGCGCATGTGCTTACAAGCTTCAACATGCTCAATCATCATGCCACAGGACACACAAGCCCGTAGAGAGGGGCACCCCACTACTCCAATGATAGTTTTCCTGGGACAATTCCGAAGCATCTTAAGACGTCTGTCCTCACATGAACAGTCTTCATTTCCTAAGATACAAGCAAATTATTTGAAAGTGTGGAAATTATAATACAGAAATTACAAAAAATGAAAATAACTGTTCCTCTACAAGTCACCACTGGTGAACCACTGTATAATTTTTTGCATGTGTGTGGTAAACACACATGCGAAAGGTGGATGCCCAGGGTATCCAGGGGCTCACAATTTTGCCAACCAGTCCTTAGATAGAATACCATTCTCATGGATGGAAAATCCCCACATCTCAGTCATGAGCCCCCTTTCCAAACACCCATCAAAACTGATCAGATTAGACAAAGGAAAAAAATAGGGAGAGATGGAGTGGGAGAACGCTTGAAAATAACTGTGACAAAATGCCGATAAACAACCGCCACCCCGCCACCAAACTGCTCGAGAACTCACAGAAGTTAACCGAAATGAATGCATTTTTGGCCAAAGACGCCCGTTAAGTGTGTGACTGGTCAATTTTGATAAATTGTCATTAAGTAAATCATGTTTTTAACAAAAACTACGTACCACACACGGTCGTGCTTTGCTTATTTTTCCATTCGTGCAGACAATGCCAGCAAAACTCGAAAGCATTGCTTTTATTCATGTTGCAAATAGGGCAAACCACTCGTATCAGCTTTTTCTCACTTCGTTGCACCATAGAGTTGCATTTCGGACATTCTTGAATACCCATGCCCTTGATCAGATAGTTCCGGGAGATCTTTTTTTCAAACTCTTCAATTTCTTCTTCTGACAAAACAGCCAAGCGACGAACGTCTATGTAGTCCCACTCCTTGCGGCAATAAACGGGTGGCTGGTCTTGGCTGATGTAAGGACACAAAAATTGGGACCGGCCCGCGTCTAAGATACTACGGCAGTAGGCTGTCAGGGATTCTGCAGCTGGAATGAAATATATATGTAAATGAAACAGTAATTTATCAACTGAATAAATTTTTCCTTAATATGCGCTGCTCTAAAGGAAGATAACTGAGCTTAGACATTTACCAAGTCAGCATGACGTCATTCATGCGAGCCATCATATTGTAGACTGAAGGCCGTGTTTTGATTTAATCCCTAACACCATGAGCATTAATCAATGTAGGTGAACGGAACAGAGGAAACGGATGATGGTAAGCATATGAAAAAAGTAGTACATTATGTTACAGTATTGCTTTACTAAGTTGATGCTATTACCAACAATGCTACATTCTTGACAGATAATTTCAATTTAAATTAAGGATGAGGATTGTACTGATAAATAGTAATGGACGTTGATTGAATCAAACAGCCAAGGAACACCAAACTAAAGATTAGTAAGGAATAGGAGCAAATGATCTTATCTTACTTATAGCATGCCCGCAAGGCATCTTGGCTCTCTTGTTCTCAGGGTCATCGTCCCACGTAATCATATCCGGGTCATTACTCAGTTCCACTGCATCATCCAATTCTTTTTCTGGTGGAATTGATCGTTCAGACCCACCGAGCAGACGAAGAACCAAGAACACGTTGGACTCATTTTGCACTCCGTAATCTGACAAACGTTTACCTATCTCCAATTGTTTTGTGGTGTAAATTGCGCGCATTTGGTCCACTGGTATGCCCTTCTTTTGGGAAATCATAGTGAAGAATTCCTTGACGGTTGCATCCTACGCAAAGGAAGGTCAAGAAGATGTAATTTTGAGGCTGTTTAACTGGTGTGAATGTAAACATTTGGGTTTTACATTAAACAGCCATCTTACCTTGTGAATATTTATGGTGGTAATGTCTCGTCTTATGCCGTAAACGAATATTTGGATTAATCCCGGCGCCATCGAGTATTGTATATCTGCAGGGAAATTATGAATCAAGATTTGCTGGGCTTGAACTATGGACCACTGTACAATCCTTAGAAAGTGTGCTCACCTTCTGCTCCCTCTCAACTCAATAAGAACCCGATCAGAAACTACACAATCTTGCTAACACAGCAACCTTGGTGAAACTGAAAGTTTTCCAAAGTGGATAATAATAATATAGCTCATTCAAAGCAGTGATGTCACGCATGGGGAAATCCCCGAGTTGTAAGATTTTGATCGTGATGTTATTTCGTTTTTCTGTCGGATTTGAATCTTGAGAGAAACATAAACAACTTAGAACACCAATTTTGCCCTCTTCTCACATCCTTGAAACAATTTTTCGAGTTTCTTCACAGTCATCAAAGATTGTTGTGTAGATAGGGGAATTTGATAATTTGCATTCGTATTAAGCCGAAGTGTCTTTCGAGCTCTATCTTGCTTACTCTTTCCTTTTCGCCTTCGATCAATTTCTTTATTGTGTTCCAGCTAATCGTTAATTTTTTTCTATTCTTTGAGAAAACAATGATGGATTTTACGGCCCAGGTTTTGTATGAAATATCTGGTGGTTTAGTGGCGTGACGTCTGTTATGCATGAGATCATTTTCTAAAAATTCTGTTGCCAAAACAACCAAGGGGTTTACTTAACGGGGATTTTCCCACTTGCACACGCAAACACGAAGAGAAAAAGGAAATAGACTAATTTATTTATTGTGTTCTAGCAAATCGTTGTTTTGTTTCTACTCTTTGAGAAAACAGTGATAGATTTTGCGGCCCAGGTTTTGTATGAAATATCTATTGATTTTAGTGGCGTGACTTCTGTTATGCTTGAGATCATATTCGAGAAAATTGTGCTACCAAAACAACCAAGAGGTCTACTAATAGGGATTTTCCCACTCGCACGCGTAAACATGAAGTGAAGAAGGAAATCGGCAAAAAATTAACAACCTAAGTACAATACGTATTTCTTCCCAAACTGCAGGCATCACGATACACATCATAAATCTAATCAAATTTTCACCTTGCTGTGAAGAAGCTTTCCTTTGTATATCCAGATGAAAACTCAACCCTTAAGCTTTGAAGGGAAATTTCCCTTGCCTTTGTTCTCCTTAAGTTTTCAGTTTCCTTGGGAAAATCCCCTATACTGGGCTTTGTTATTATAATTCTGGAAACAAACTGAAACAGACACCAAATGCATAGGTAAGTCAGGACTTGTAAGTACACACAATGAGCTTGAAGAGAGATTTCATTTCAAGGTAAGTAAACATTCATTTCAAACTTGTGTATGCCCTAGTTCCGAAGTAAATACTCTTTCATTAATTTGTGATTGCAGTGACTTTCAAAATTTCAACTAGCAAATCGTTACTTAAGATTTACCAAGAGCCGGACTTACCGTATTCAAAGACATCTACACGCTCCTTTGCGCTTGACATAAGAAAACCATGTTGCGTGAGGTTATAACACTGTCGGTAGAGACGAAATCAGTTAATGTGCCGCCTTCTAATGTGACTAAGTGGGACCTCTAGAATGTGCAAAACCCCTCAAAGATATTTAAAACATTTAAATACATGATCTTAATATAATAAAGAGTGACTAAGGATCGGGGAGGTAGGTAGAACCATGTTGCATCGCTAAGGAACTGCTTCCGGCTTCGCAGAAATCGTTGTGACGTTAATTAAGCGAACACTTTCGATTCTCTTTAAGGCTTCCATCGCCCAATAGTTCCACTATCCCGTACGCATCGTATATCTATACACAAGTCGATGGCCCAATAAACTGTAATGTTTTCCTTAAAAGGTGTATGCAACATCTATTTCTTAACATACTGAAAGAGCAAAGATGTGCAAGAAAGTCGTCTGATCGTTCTCCTGTAATAAATCACGGGCAAGGACCAATCAAAATGTTTGTTAAATTCAGAATATCAAGTGATATACAAATATTTCAGGGTACAGAAGGAGCTAAAACAACTGCAGTCCTTACAGCCTCATGGAATCCAAGTAACACTTCCATCTGACAGTCTCCAATTATGGGAGGCTTTAGTGCCAGGACCTGAAGATTCACTCTACAGAGGTGAAGAGATTTCATTATTTGGGCTTTCCAATATTCTGTTTAAGAAAAGTTCTCATTATGTATTTGTATCTGTCTTTCAGGAGGGCGGTTCAAAGTTCAAGTTTATTTACCGTATCCTTTAGATCACTTTTCTCTCTCTAAAATTTTATTTTAATGAGGTGTTCTGGCAAGTTTGGGGAAGAATTGCTACCACAAAGGACCTTTTTCTGACCCTCTCTCCTCAGCACCCCTCTCAGTGAATGTCATGCTTCAGAAGGAATTTCAATCTTCCTGATTTTCTGTGTTGCCTGACGAAGCAGTCACATAAAATTCGGGGTTCCTATTCTTTCAAACTCAAAATTCAACGACTTAGCACAATCTTTTGCAGAGCATTTTTGAGGGTTTCTATAACTAATGATTAAGAAATTGATTTAAAAAATAAGTTATCAAAAAAATAAAATCGGTTGAATCGTACTTACATATGTTTTGAAAACTTTGCAAAACTTTTAGATAAAAATAGTGAAAAATGGTTAATAAATTCACTTATGAGGTATTGGCACATACATCTAGATTTAGGAGTGTTTATAATGGCTAATCACAACTTGTTCAGAAATGATTGAGCATTTTTTTAAACCAATGTCAAGGGAACACACGAAAAAGAGAGGTGACATCGATTTATCAAAGAGTCGGTGTGTAAAATTAACGATGCCATTTTAAACTATGTTTGGGCGACTCGTTTATTTTTACACCTAATTGTTTATTTTTATTTTGTTTATTTCTTTCAATTGCTATTGCAAACTCTCTGAGGCTCTTGGAACCGTATTATTGAAAACTGTTATCGTTATTATTATTATTACTATTATTGTTATCAATCTATTGATTTATTTATATTAATGCGACGTTTCAGTTAATCCTTAACTAATTTCTTATCTCTCAAGTGAAAACTACCCTCTTGAACCACCAACGGTAATACTTTAAAATAAATGTTTTACATGCTTGAGCGCGAACGACTGATTGTCATGGCTGCAGAGATACCTGGTAGTTACCTGGTTATCTCATGATCTTGTCTTCTTCTTGAGTTTTGAAATTTTGAAATTAATTTCACTATCAGTTGGGAAGGTTCTCTAAATGAAACTGTATTATAACATAGCAAAAATGTCAGACACTTAGCTGGAAATCAAAAGCCCTAAAAAAAATTTAAAACTGAGTAATTCAAAAGTAACAAAAAATTGGTCTTGCTGCCAATGTGTTTTCATTTTGCAGCAGCTTTCATGGCATGTAAGCCGCTGCAAAATGATAACACATCTACTCATTTAAATATTTATTAAATTAGTTATTGCTTTGTTCTTAAGGGTTAGGTAGATTAGGAGCACATCTAATTATAGTGCAAAAGTGAATTACCTGGTGATCAGTACTTAGCTGGCTACTTATATTCTGATCTGGTTACATTTGTGGTCTAAAAGAGGTCTAGATACTTGAGAGGGGTGAAAGGAAATTGGCGAGAACAAAGTTTATGTCTTTGTTATTTCTTAATGCCAGGTACGTTTCCTGCCTCCCATTTTTCACATCAATGTGAGTCCGTCAACTGGTCACGTGTGCCTGGGATTCTTGACTGGGGAGAACTGGTTACCAACCCGTTGTATTAGAGATGTATTGAGTGGTGTGTTCTCTCTACTTATCAAACCTGAGCCAGAGAATGCTGCTGACCAGACTCTGCTGAATATGTTCAATAACAACAAAATGCTTTATGAAGACAAGGCCAGAAAGAGCGCCAAAAATGGCCAGGATGATCATTTGTCTTTTATTTTCTAGTTCTAACTGTTCTCTACTCCTGAAAGTTTGATTAACCCAACCATGTGTAGCAATTTAGCAACTTTGACTAAGGTCGGAAATTAATTAACTTTATAAGAGGTTAAATTCTTTTTTCGTTATCAAAATTTGTGCAAAGTGTTTTGCATTTTCCAATTTTATTGCAAAACCAAGAAGGATCAGGAAGAAAGTTCAATATTACTCAAATTTATGAGCATTTTTTTACCTTTCTAGAGGCTAGATGTCTCCATTACAGCTGTCCTTAAGGATGTCATCTAGTGATCATAGCACCCCCAATCCTTTATTTTGCCTGCAAAAGTTTCAGCATTCTCGTTGGTTGAGAACACGTCAATTTATCCCAAATAGTGCAGAAAGTTGAAAATGAGTGCAGAAATGGTGGCTAGGTTAAGAGAGAGTTACAACGTTTTAATCCAGAACAAAATCACGCAACAAAGCAAAAACAACCGGCTAAAAGTCGGGAAGTCTTAAGCTTCCAAACACAGCTATGACATAAGCATTGAAACGTAGAAACCGAAGGCCCTGATCAACATTCTCTCGAAGTTTACGCAACAGCGCGATGGCCTTCGTGTACTGGTTACAGCTATTAAGAAAATTCAACTGAGAAAGAGTGCAAACACTCAATTATTCGTGACAGAAAGCTAAAAATCTTGAAGTAAATTTTGTGGAAAAACTCTGACGACTCCAGCAACAACACAAAGGCCAGCAGGCGCACCGGTGAACCATATACACCTTTAAGAAAAACCGGGTTAAACTTGTGCATGAGTATAGTAAACAATTCACTAATAATATGAATTTTCTTGTGTAATCTGGAATAAAGGCAAAGACAACGGGGTGCACTCACCCCAAGAGCATGTGCGATTTGATTAGCCTTTGGAAAATTTACTTATCGCTATTTGTACTCGATATCACGTGATTACCGAGGAAAATTGCTTGAAATGGAAGTTTGAAATTTATCTAGGGAAAAGGCAGCACCTCTCACTATTTAAACCACGTGATTACAGCACATCCAATTGCGCAATTCCTCGTGGTTGGAATTCCTTCATTCTATTTGATCATCTGCTCCTATATGACGCGACCGAATAATTGAAAATGTCCTCAATGTATCGCGTGCTTTTTAATAACAGCAGTGAAACACTTAGAACCATTTGAGTAAATACATTACTTTCAAAGTTATTCTGGGCAGAAACAGTGGACGACTCACCCCAATAATAATATTCTGATAAGATGGGCCTTAATAAGTTAAAAAAGTCACAGTGAACAGAAAGAAAGTCCAGGTGTCAGAGATTCCATGTCATCACCCTATCATCGGGCCCAGCACGTAAGTCAAGCACAGACTCGAACAAGGGCACATTTGAAATAATTTTTTTGGTCCCCAGAAAACGTTTTCGCTTTACTGAATTGGTTCACGTTTTTCTCAAGGAACGTTTGATGGTCCTCTTCGGTTTACTTCAGGTACCACGTTTTGACTGGTCGCCGTGTTGTTTTATGTCCTTGTGTACGTCCCCGAGTCAGTCAGCGGAATGTCACCATCGACTCCAGTCACTCGCCACAAAATTCAGGCGATAATCCTAACGAGTTACGAAACTAACCTTAAAAAGTGCGTATATATTAATTTCTGCTTTTTCAATGCCAATTTTCATCCTGTTGCAAGATGAGTTACTGGAAATGTTAGAAATTGATTCACAAATACAATTACAGAATTACCGACAATTTATCACCATTACACGGATAACAAAATTTTAGTTCAACTGTGCCAGGTGGTTAAGGGCAGTTGGCAAATTCTTATCTTGATCTTAAACGAGTTTCATTGTAGATAACTTTTCCACTTCTATGGCGAAGATCTAAAATAACTTACCTAGCATGCTAACAGTGCTAATTTGATGAATTCGTCGTGACCAGTGAAGTAGTTATCAGGAGAAACATTTCCCAAATCTTCATTGCATTCCACCGCTTTATCCTTCACACCTGAGTGGTAACTTTGCTTTGAGCACGTGGAGCACAATCGCTGAGTCACTTCGAAATTACATAGCAAAATAGAAATTATTCTACAGGCTGGGGGCAAATTGATTCTCTTCGTGCAACTAAAAAAGAAAATTGGCCGGAATTGGGATCAGTTGGTCGGAAACAGGGCAGCTCAATATTTGCTCCAAAGGTAACTCGGAAAGGAAAGTAAAGTTTTAAACAAAACTACATGAACCATTTCCGGTTGAAAAGCTGAACTTCTCCATATACTGAAAAGAACTTAACATGGGACTTACATCCACATCGGCCGAAAACTGGGCAACCTACTTCGTATGCTAACTTATATATTGACCTTAACGAGATTTCAACAAGTATTCGTAAAAGTTGAGATGCAAAGTGAAGCCTGAAATTATCTAAGTCAGAAGTCTAAAAGTATCCAAAAAAAGTGACCCAGATTATGGAATTTTGACCTGGGGTTTGTTCAGCTTGTTTGTTCCTCCGTGTGTTCATCAGCAGGTTAGAAGAATAACCTGTCGTATCCTTCTTGTTCAAAATTTCGAATGTTGTCAATAGTATATCCTGGCCACGTTTGATGCTGACACTTATTTGCATAGTTCTTTTTAAAATAAGGGATGGTTAGTTCCATATAAAGCTTATTTCTTCCTTTTGAGATGTAATCTTCCTGAATTGAGATAAATTCACTGAGATCATCATTTGTTAATGAAATGTCTTCATATGTAACCACAAGAGAGTGAAATGAATGCTTTAATCTGCTTCTTAGGTCTTTTGTTTTTGACACACTAACAAGCAAGTTGTAAAGGATATTACACACTTGAAGTTTTTAAACCCTTAACATACCACGGGTATGTTATTTTTTTTGGAGAAACCCGAGTGATGTTTACAAAATCAGTTGTTGATCAATTTCTTTTTAATAAAGCCCCATATGACCATATATGTTCATAACCAGTGGAAAATTTTCTATCAATTTGTTTAACTTATTATGGGATACACATCATATGATGACGTCACGACATGCATAATTAGCATAATTATTGGAAGTTTCAAGAAGGACTAATTGAAAGAATCCTGTAACAAATAATTTTCAGAACTATTACTTTTTCTAAAAAAATCATGACCTTCACACATTGAAAATATCATTTTAAGGGTTAAAAACACTTCTCTGCACACAAATTTGATCCATTAAGATTATTGTAAGGGCATGAACTATCTTATTAGTAACAAAATCTAATCTTGAGAAAGTCTTACAGTAAGTCACTTTCATTGTCTCATATATCACTTTGCCTTTGTTATTTCTTTTCAATTATCACATTTGTCTATGTATGTTCAATTTTGGAGAACTCTTCCTCTTCCTCTGGTGCGAGGCCTCCCTCTTCCTTCTTTCAGACGTCTGGGGCCTTCACGATCTTCATCATTGAAATAGAAGTCTCTCAATGTGTGATATCTGAGGAAACAGGGCTCCAGGCACATGCATACTCCACACACTGCACAGCTATAAAAGGTACCTACATGCTGTAAGTGAATCTTGCAAGTAGATCTTCTGCTTACCAGGTGGTGAAAGTGTTCTTGATTAAATCTAATTTCAGAAGTGGGTGGTGGCCGCATTTGAGTGTCCCTTCTAAAGGACTTTCCTTCAATCAAGTGACTTATCAATGACTTTCTGAAGTCTAAAGCAGTTCTAGTGGTATGACATGGAGATTTTCTCTCCAAAATGTCAGGGCTCGAAATTAAAAAAATTCCAAGTCGCCTTTTGGCGACTATCAAAGAAAAAATGGTCGCCAAATAAAAAAATGCAGTCGCCAGATAGTACAAGAACAGAAACTCAGATTAGAGCCCCATTTAATTGACATAGTTGTTCGGCTTCAGGAACTAAACACGTTGCAAAAACATCCTCTGGTAGCTGCTGCATGAGATTCACGCTCCGAACAAACGTTTTTGAAAGGCTTTGAAACGCTTCTTGTTTGGATTCTAACAACGATCTTGCTTCCTGGTAATTTCTAGCCTGCAGCACATTACGAAAATCGCTCGGTGTATTCTTCTCTTGTGATAAATAATTGATGACTTTCGGTATAGACTCGTATCACTTGATCGAGCAAATGGTGAAAGAAAGCACCTGCTTTGAAAGCCGGCTACTTGCGACAGAATCTGCTACAGAACGCTTTTTAAATTCAGCAGACTTTTCTGCAGCTCCTCGTTTCTGATTTGCATACAGATAAGTCTGAGCAACTAACAACTCCCATACCTGAGCAGTGAAGAACAGATCAAAAAACCCTTTGCTTGATGTCAAAGATCTAATGTTTACATTTGCTGCCAATCCCACGAGGTCACTGAAATCAATATCATCCCTTTTCGTTATTTCTTCGCTCCATGCCGATACTTCTTCTTCCTCCTCTTCTTCTGACTCATCCCCACTCGATTCTGCCAAATCATCGGAGTCAATCTCTTCTTCTGACTCGGGATGCTCCAAAACACTGATACAAGCCAAAGGTAAATTGTCTTCGTCGATAAATTCGATTTCCACATCGTTTTCATCGCTTCCAGTCGCACAGAATGCTTCAGGAGATATGTCGCAGGCCGCAATTTTTAAAAATCACAGACAATACACACTCGAAATTTAAATTTCCAAATTCTTTAATACAACTCGCTAAATCGGCCAATTTCTTTCACTGCCTCAAACTATACTTTATTTGAAGTTATTTGAAATGAAATACCAGTGCCCAAGCCCCAATAATTCACCACAATTGCGCGTTAAAATCACGCCGTATATTTCTACGCATATATGCGACGGTTGGTACGTTAAGGGTTAACTTTGCTCTGAATCACTAAACAAGTTATGGAAATGTTTTCCTGGATATACACTGACAGAGGCAACTCCTCTAACATTTAAAAGTACTCCTTATGGCATTACGATTGTCAAAACGAAACGCACTTCTAAATACGTTTCTAACATAACAAGCTAGACAAGAAACAGTGACGAGTCATAGAGAAGAAAAAAAACCGGT